GAGTCAGGGGTATGGGAGCCTGGGTTGACGTTGTCGAGAACAATCGAGCGAGAATTTTTTCTCGCCTGACTAGAGGCTTCACCTTTCCACTATCACATCATTCCGCTTTTGTAAGGATCTGAGCTTACATCAAGCATTTCGCAGGAGCTTTCGCAACGTCGGTCCCTTAACCTCACCGCTGCCGACCCTCAGCGACTGTGCACGGCCAAGTGACGGAGCCGAATGCTAGCAGTAAGTCAGACCTTTTGCCTCACCACCCGCACCCATCCTCGATGATGATTATAAAGGCCTAATGACTATCTGTCGATCCATGATTACAGAATTGCATTAGTCTGAGAGGTTCACCTGTGCCCATTTTTTCGCCTCGCGATCACTCGTCCTTTTGCGCAGCTGGCTAACCTTGAAGCAGTGGGGTGTGCTCGAGTCTTCTAACCGATGAAGCAAAGACAGCACCGCGGTTAGTATCCTTCCACTCAAAATGCGCAGCACACCAACGCACACACAAACACATGTCTTTTATGATGACAAAATTGGGAAAGAACGTTTTAGACAGCCACGCTGGCATCTGGCTGCAAGGCTAGGTGTCAGTTGTCTGGATTGACCATGCGAACATTCGAGAGCTCCTGATTTGACGCATTGCCCACTCCTCCTTCACCTCCACAATTTCCCTTGAATGGTTCGCTAATTTTGCAAAAGCAGGTAGAAGCCCCACAAGGCTGTCACAAGAACCAGAGGTCAGCAACTCCCCCCAGCACGCTGCAATCTTCCGTCATGAATGATGACCATGTAAAATGAAGTTTTGAGTCAACCACGCTGGCATCTGGCTGTAAGGCTGGGTGTTGGTTGTCCGAGTTGGCCATGCGAAAAAAAAAATAACCAGCTCGCCCCTGACACGACACCACACCCACTGTTCCCTTTGACAGCATCGCATTTCCAAGACCACTGGCTAATTCACGTCACCACAGGACCGTTGAGAGCCTTGCACCGCGTTTGAGAAACCCAAGGTCAGTGATGCCCAGCCCTACCACACCCCCTGCCTTCCATGATGACCGGGCCATGGCCTGAATGAACAAGATACTCTTTAGTTAACCACGCCGGCCATCCGGTTGCAAGACTAGGTGGTCGGTTGTCTGGGTTGGCAATGCGAACATTTGAGAGCTCCTGATTTGGCACACTACCCACTCCTTCCCAACGTCGCTGTTTTTTTCTGAGCGTCTTGCTAATTCGGTCAGAGCAAGAAGTTCGAAATTGCACCAGTCGCTCGAGAAGACCTCAGGTCAGTGATCCCCCCAACACGCCTCCCATTACTTCCATCGTGATGACGGGCTGTGGCCCGTTGAACATACAGTTTAGTCAGCCACGCTGCTGGCTACGAGGCTGCGTAGGTCAGCAGTCTTGGGTTGACAATGCGAACAAAGCTGTCTGAGTGGAGGCGCGATAATCCTTTCCCGACGTCACTGGGTCTGTTGAGCATCGTGCTAATTCTGTCAGAGCAGGGCCTTGGAAAATGCACGAATCACTCGAGAATACCTGAGGTCAGTGATGCCCGCAGCACACACTCCGTAAATTCTTTCCACGATGATGACCGGCATTTGCCGGAAGTTCAAGCTACTTTCTAGTCAACCAGCGCCGCTGGCCATGAGGCTGCGTGGTCAGCGGTCTGGGTTGGCAATGCGAACAAAATTATCTGAGTGGACTTGCCCGGCTATCACCTTTCCTGCGTCACCTTTCTTGCACAGCATGCTGAGACTGAGTAGCAGAGATCTTGGCAGGACTTCCTCCTTCATAGAGGACGAGACGCCGCATGTGCTCGCATTTCTTTGTGGAATGTTCGACCTCAGAAAAGCGCTTGACATCACGGGTGAGTGACTCCAGCAACTCGATTCTGTTTTTCATGATGATCCAATGGAAAGAACTTCGCATTCAACCGCTCGAAACCGACTGTAAGGCCTGAGTATCGACGCTTAGGTTGAGCATGAGACTATCTTCGTCTGATTTAAGCACCCCAAGTTTCGTCATCATTTTCGTTCGCCTCCCTTCTATGGCAGCTGACACTTCGAACTGGCTAGGTCATAGAAAGCCCAACTCGTTGCGCAGCCCGCCCTGAGATTCCCTTGTGGAATGGTCGGCCTCAGACAGGCGGTCGAAACCCCGATGAGCAAGCTCCAGTTGCCGATTCTTGGATTCTGTCTTTCATGATGACTTGCTAGGAGATTCACGAACCCAACCGCTCGAAACCGGTCGCAAGGCCTGAGTTTTGGCGCTTAGGTTAGGTATGAGAACAACAGCTTCGACTCACTCAGGCACCCTACGCGTTATTATTGTTTTTTTGTTCCTCTTTCTTCCACGACAGCTTGCTAACCACCTTCACGTTGGTCAGGTCATACCCGCCTCACCGAAGCCGTTCTCCAAGCGCTGTGCTGCGCCAACGCCGCGCGCTCCGTCACCTTGGCCCGAGCCGCACTCTGATAGGTTAGTCATGCCCCTCACTCTGCCCTGTCCGCATTCCGAGCCTCAATGATGAGGAGTGGCAAAGCCGCTCTTAACTACACTATTTAGCGAACCGCTCCTGACGCTTTCGGGCCGAGGGTCGCTTGGGTTTTCGCTATGACAACTTTTGAGCTAGACTGAGAGGCTGGATTCGTTCTATCACCGTTTTCATCTCGTCCAATTCATGTAAACAGCAGCTAACATGACTCTTCAATCTTTCGCAGGCATTTCGCAAGAGCGCGAGCTTGACAGCTCGCTATGCTACATTCCCACGTCCTTTAGACGCCGAAGCTCGCTGCCCGCGTCCTCGGATGATTCCATGTTCCACAATCACAAGGCACAGATGGCGAAGGGGCCTTGGTCATCACCTTGGGCTGGGCCACTGAAGTGTGAAGTCAGCCGGAAAAGTAAGTGTGCAAAGACCATCCTCCTGCGGCTTACGTGACGACAAAACCTACTTGTGCAACTTGAGTTCTTCCATGAGTATAACGCTGTATCTCTGATTGCCGCTGCTTGAAACACATTGAAAAGTTTCACCCTCAGCTGAAACACATGCTAATGTCGGCTTTTGTAGGATTTTTCCACGGCGAGCGGAGCATCGTCGGCTCGCCCGTGCGGAGACTTCTCCGCGACGGAAACCTACGTAGTGATTGTCTGCGGGATTTAGCAACTGAAGCATAATACTGGAAGCTTATGAGCATGAGTGTCAGCCTTGTCTGACTTCAACCTTTCGACGCGGGTTGCCTCGTGAACTCTTGGTCCACGCACGAGCCGTACGAGGACGGGGTGAGCCAGCACCGAGGCTGAGGGTCTCACTGCACACGAGAATAGAATCATTTTTCTAGTAGATGGCTACATAGGCAGCCCTAGCGCGCATTTCACTGGTTGATTTGCTTAATTGAAATTCTGGGAAACCTGAAATTTGTTTAAAACTCAAAGCTGATTTGACGCTGATGAAAATAGTTTAGGTTGCGGAACGGCGAGACTGCGAAGCTTAGAAGTCTGAATTAATTCCCGACCACCGCAGCCGAAAGACATTGTTCAGCCCTGTTTCAACTTGCCAGCATAGCGCGCGGGTCGTCCCGGCGGGTAGTAAATTGACATCGTATTGCCGCGATCCTGGAGTTGAGCGGGCCGTGAGTGCTGCGAGCGCGCAGAGAAAACTAGCTGATAATTCGACCTGATATGGCAGTGTGCCGAGCGGAGGCGAAAAATACCTATTATGACGTTCTGTCGCGCACGACACATTTTTTCCGGTGGGTGGCGGGCAGCAATTAACATCTGCAACACCAGGGCGTTGCATCGCGAGTCAGTGCGAACTCTATCTGCGAACCGGCAAGCGCCTTTTCCTCCACCCATGTCATTGTCGCCCACCCCCTCTCTTCAACCCGCGACAGTCTCCACACTCCTCCCGCACATCTCCCCCGAAACGCGGCAACAGCCATATTTCCGCCAATCCTGCGTGGCTGGCAGACTCCATACAGGACCATCGCCACCAACAATGCAAATAAATCTGCAGGAAGGCAAGCGACGACAACAACGGCGGGCTGCAACGGCGGAGGAGTCGGCAAGCGATACGACGGAATAGTCGTCCGGCGAAGCCGAAGCCAAGCAGATCCTTGGAATCCTTTGTCTCGGCAAAAGGAGCGTGATAGCGACGCACAAAAAACCCGGCGCGCTAACTGGCTCCGTTTCATTGATTCCTGCCCGACTCGGTTAAACACCCTATAACCGACAGCCAATCTTGGTCGCTGTCACTGCGCCCACGCCAGGGGTCGGCCTGCCCTCCGCGCTCACGGCTTCAGCCTTACGAGAGAGCTTGTTTCCTTTGACGACCCAGGCGTGCCGTCCCCGTGCGGGCAGTTAGTGCCAAACAAGACAGGTTCTATTTATGAAACAGAGTCGTGCAATACGATGTCCGACGACGTCGCGCTCTTGTGCCCTGCGCGGTCGGACGCCGGCGAAACTTGACTAGGTGGGCGGCGGGCGCGCACACTTGATTCGCATTGCGGCGCGAAGCTGGATCGAGGCGGCGGTGGAAATGAATACGATGATACGGGCGGACGCCGACAACGGTGCCAAGCAACGAACGACCGGGGGAGGCGCAAAAGTTGGTTATTTTTGCTTTTGCCTTGTGGAGTCTCTCGCGTGTGCCCTGTTTCGTTAGAGATAAGGAAATCCGTCGTGTGGGTAAATTTGGGCCGCCGTCCGTCGTGATGGTTTAAAGCAGCCCTGCATCCCCGTTTCCCTTTTTCACGAGGAATCCGTCGCCTTCGCTGCTCTCCCCGCCAGTCCGCATACCCTACTACTCGCTGCCAGCAACAGCCACTTTGCTGCCACTCCTTTTGAGAAACAACTGTTCGATACACCACACTCTCTGTACGTGCAGGCCCTCTCCTTCGTTGATGATGATGCAGATCATGCGCTAACCGCCAATCATCCACAGATCGCACCAACCCACGCTCCTTACCACCAACCATCCACCCAACCTCCGCCTCATCAGTCTTCGCATGACGTTTTCTTCTCCCCACGACGCCGAGACACCCAGCAACGACCAACCCGCCACGATGGAACTTTCCAACAACGAGATCTTCATCGCCCTTTTCTTCGGCTTCGTCGCGCTCATCGTCATGGCCATGATCATCGTCTACTTCCGCAAGAAGCACCTGAAGAAGGTCAACGAGAAGCTGCGCGCCAAGCACGCCAACATGGCCCAGGCGGTGTGAGCCAGCCCTGGAACACGGGCACACACACCAACACGACACACACGCACAACTTCAATTATGTAATTGCACAGGCGCACCGCCTAGCGCGGCGAGCTACAGGACTGGAGACGCCCAGGATGGACATCCTATCGACTTCATGACGCTGCGCGCATACCACGGTGCCTTCGCACGTTGTCTTTTTTTACACTTCACGAGCTGTATTATACTGGGACTTTTTTACGTAGGGTGATGCGGCTAGGGGAAACGCCGCGGGAAGAGCGGAACATGCGCGCGCCGGGATCAACGCATGCGTTTTAACACGAAACTGGAAACGGCGTATTTTGGCGACTCATGCATCAGGTTGCCGTGGTTGGCATAGCATTGAGGAATTGATTTGAGTACTGTTCAAACTTTCAATATCACATTTTGCCCCGCGAGGGCTTTGTTCAACGTCATTTGCTGCTGCGTATTTTGAGATCTGCGATTTTTCGTGAAGGGGTGACGAAGAAGTGGCGGTGAGCTGGATGCTTGTGTCTTACTCTCCCTTTTCCTGCGCGATGCCAGTGAAAGACATTCATCGTACCGGCAACAATGATGTGTTCCATTATCACGCCACCGGAGGAGACTGGACTGTTCACACTCAGGGAGGGAGGCAAATAGGCGCAAACATCCATCAAAAGCTATTGTCTCGCTCATTTCCGTCTAACGAGTAGCACTGCATGGTTAGTGGGAGCTTCAGACAGGGTTCATCCGCACAAGCGACTCGCATCCATATTCCACAGTGATGACGATCATCGTGGTGCAGCTAACTCCTCAATAATAGTAGATACTTGAAAACAGCGCCTGCTGCGCGATGTTCTTATCGTTCCGGCCTGCCCGAGCTATGTTGTCTTTCCTGCAAGTGTATGTGGTGCTGATCGACAAGATCGCCTTCAACATTGCGCTGCGTGAAGATTCTGTAGTGTGCGGTGCTGACTCTTGATCAAAAGCAGCGACCTATGTCATCCAGAGCCTGCTTGGCCCTTTTGCACCTGATCTGGAAATACGGATTCTAATTGTTGCGCTCGTAAAATGTAGCTGAAAGAACTGTTGATCTGCGGTGGGTCCAGGTGAGCGCGTTGACTCGAACGACGCTGATCTGCAATTCAGCGCGGCGTGGTTGACCAACACGAGCCTACTCTGGCCATGGCCCATAAAAGCGTCAAAGCTTTGAATCCAACTCTCAGCCCTACCTCGATCTTTTTTTTCTTCCGGTCCCAGTACCAAGCTATTGGCTCGGCTGTTGAAGTGATCAAGCATAAGACACTTCGCACGTTCTTCTCGTCATCGTCTTTTCCGGGCCATGTGGCATGCCGAAGACTAATTTGACCCAATCGTGCCGCCTCTGGCGAACCAGTCTGTAGGGCTGAGGGATATTGGCGCCAATAAAACTCGACTTGGATGGCACGTACCTCTTGTCCATTGCGGGATTCACACAGAGCGTGGGTCCATAGAAAGGGTCTTTCGCATATCGCAAGCCTCTTCAAACGCGGATACTCCTATCTTCGCATCGTAGGATTTCCTCTGGAAACGCCGCATCTACCCAGAGGGTCATGGCCTGCCTAGCACGCGGACTTCAGCGTGTAGCAGCCGCTGGAGACCATGGGGGATGCTAGAGGGCACTACCGCCGCCGCCATCAGTACCGCACAACGACCAAAGCATCAAGCCGTTCTCGAGGAGCCTGGAAGCCTGGAATTGCCCTTGTCGTCTGGTCCAGCCGTAATCTTCCGCAGGCGCCGGCTGCAGCGACGGCTCTCGGGCCATCCAGACAGGCGCGCTGCTCGAGCATGGCGGGAAGCACAGCCATGGTGCACGCACGCGGCAGCCAGATGAAGGTGGACGCAAGGCCAGCCTGAGGCCGGAGACGATGCCAGCCGTCGAGCTTCGAAGCAGTGCTTGAGGCCGAAGGACAGCGCCGTCACCACCTCCGCTCTTCGCTCCACCCGTTCCGCCGTCCATGGCCGGGACCAGCGTCCCTCTCTGTTCCAGGTGCTGCTGTGCATGGCAGAGAGGCTGAGCGTCGCGCCAATCCACCCGCTGCTGCGCCGTGTCCATGCCTGACAGGCTTGTGAAGTGCCGTGGCTCAGGACAGGCAACCGGGGACAGTGGCCGCGTCTAAATGCCAGGCGCCACGGCGGCGAGGACCTCTCCCTTCATTGTCCAATGTCACCTCCCCAATTATGCGGCCTTGTGGATCGTTCTCGCGGTAGTCCTGTGGGCGGTGGAGCGTCTTCTCGAAGCTTGAAGCGGCGGCGGACGAAGCGGGAGGGAAGATGGAAGCGAGGGTTCCGAGTACAGAGCGCTACTGAGGAGGCACGTCAGCGAACGTCTGAGGCGGGAGTAGGCGCTTTTCCGATGCGCGATGCGGCGTGAGCGAGTGGAACGCCGACAGCCCATACGCTTCCTTGCCGCTCACCGAGACCTTGACGACTGTAGGATCGATGGTGCGGTTGTCCCCGAACGAAATGCCTTCGAGCTTTGCCGGAAAGCTGCCTGCATTTGGCATTGCTGAACGCCTGGCTCAGGGCTGCGAGCCACGGAAGTCCCTCCTCGGCGCACGCGAGGCTGCGCAATCAGGTGTCAGCAACCAAACCCCGGACAGAGGCCTTTTCAGCAGCCTTTCATGATGGGCTTGTGGGTCTTCTGCCTGCCGCGCTTGTTGCGGGCCGAGGCGACGGGCGGGTTTCGACGAAGCGGTCGAATCTGGCGGGCGAAGAGGGTATTGCTGAGCTTGGAGCGGATGGCGGGGCTTCTGAACGATGGTGAATGGGTTGGTAATTGACGAAGGACCAGTCGGTGCCGAAGTATACGGGTTGTCGGGGAGCACGCTGGGTCCAGAGCATCAACGCTCCGCCGGAGATGCGGCCATTAGTGCCGAGACCGTTCGTCAGAAATGCAAAAAGGGCGAGAGCACCACTCACGTACTCATTATCCCAAGCAATTGCGGCAGCCCAGATAGCTTTAGTTTCGCGGAACCACGTTGGAACAACTTTCAACCTCACCTTCGGCCAACGCGAACCTCAATTTCCCTATTTGGTCTAGGCTACAATGACTGTCTCGTGCCGGGCGGCCTCCAGCGGGTATATAAACCGTTCTTCTTGAACCTTTTGTTCCTTTTCCTTTCTCTATCATGCGCCGCTCTTGCAAAAGTAGCGTGCCATGCTTCTCCGTATCAAGCCACCAAGTGGCAATTTTTGGAACTCGCCAGCCCAACTGGGGCAACTCCGCTTTTCGTTGAGATGGCTCGCCATGAACGGGCCCTTGAGGAAGATCTGGAGCCTTCGGTGCGCTGGTCATGGCGATTGCAGCGTCGGCCTGCGACGACGATGGTTGCCCGGCCAGCCCGGCCCGGCTCGTGCACCCATGACCCGCCGAGCTGCTGGCGCCTACAAAAGGCCCTCGACTCTCTGGCCCCTCTCCTCTTCTTCTTTTTTTTTCTTCAGTGGGGCCGGAAAATAGCTCGTTAGTGAAGTAGCATGCAGTCACCAGCTGTTCGGGATTTGTTCTTTTGCCCACCAATGAAAATGAACAGCTGGGGTGGTTTTGGCCTCTCGCCGAAACCCAATTTTTGGAAAAGAAAGGAAGCCCGTATTGCACTACCTCGGTGCTTCCGATCCACCTTTGTCTTTTCGTCGAGCAGCTTGCCTTGAGCAGGCTCTGGAGGAAGAGCTGTGGGCTTTGCCAAATATTGTGGTGGTTAGGAAGACGGTCGGCTGGACCGCCGTCGAAGCCGCGGTCGCCCTCGTCGTCGCCGCTGAGCTGCGCTGAGGGCGTCAGGCTTGCGCTCATGTCTAGCTAAGGCAGCGAAAACGGCGTCTTGGCTGCTGTATGTTGCCTCGCGCGCCGCTGTTTGCCGTCCAGGCCACACAGTCTGCCCGTTCTCGCGATCGCTACCTCCGCTGCCGCCAACAGCGATGCCCGCGCTTCCGCAAAACACTGGATTCCCGCCTGGCTTCGCCTGGGGACAGACTTGCTTTCCATGAGCCGGTCACGCTGCGTGGCCATCTGGCAGGGACGCCGAGGCAAACCACGGGCGTGCCACCAAAAGCAATCTACAGGTCTGAATCTGTCTACCAGCAAGCATTTCTCCCTATGGCAGCAGCCCCAATCTCCGCCCCTCCATGTATGTCCTCCGTCTCGCGCTGCGGTGTCCTCTTCGGCGGCGGCCAGGTGCAGTCGGCTGCAGAGCGGCGGGCTCGAGCGGTGTGAATGATGTCCGACGTCTGGACGACGGAGGATGCTGCTAACGGAGAGCTGTGTGAGGCTGCAACAGTATCTATACTGCGAGTTCCGCGTGCTGGTTAGGGGAGGGGTGCTGTGGTTGATGTAGAGTGTCCGGCGAAGCTGCGAGCGGAGACTCAGCCTGAACTCGTTGCAGCGCTAGGCTTCGGCTCCAGCATCGCTGCCGCAGCTTCAGGCTACGACAACAGGATCAGCTCATGCTAGCAAACTGGGTATCAATTATCGGTGACCGTCCCAGTTGAACAAGAGCGTGGACCAGTCATGTCCATTCACGCTGCTGCACTGGTCGACCCGGCCAGCGAGAGAGGGCGCTTCAGCTTGCCCACCTTTCTCACACCACAATCAGAAACGTCAAAAAGCTTGCTAGTGGCCTGGTGCTACAGCTCACAGCACCCAGCAGCCCTGGGCGTGCATGCTTGTCCCATCTTCTGGCGCAGTTTGAGCGGCGGCCACCACAAACGTTGCGTGCTTGGGCAGTTCCAAGCTGCTCATGGCCCCTTCCTCAAACTACTCGTCGTGCTCACGAGCGGCGGGTGGAATTCAGCCACTCCTCTCCGGCAAGCTGATTGAGAAAGCGTCTACCGTGATAGCTGCTGCGGCCATAGATGAAGACCTTCTGGGAAGCCCAGTCATCGTGGGAATCTTACTCTGCCCACCTCTCTTCCGGCGGCGAGTGGAGATTGACACTGCTCAGTGCATCTCCTCAGAGCACCGTGTGAAGCCGTCTACCTCGCTCGCATGATGGAGACGCGCAAACACAAGCTCCGCTGGCTCAATGAGCTTGCTTCCGGCTGCCACAGCGTGCGGGCGCATCGCTGGACCGCTGTTGGGCACTGCGTTGTGCCTTCCCTGTGTGCTCGCAACTCCCCCATCTGCCACCCATTACGTCAGTGCCCACACCGGCGGCCGCCATAATTCTCCCAACACTCCGAGCAAACCATCTCCTCTTCCTCTCCGTCCGCTCAGCATCCTGAGACCGAGCCCCCCTCCATCCTTCACCACGAGCGAGTCCCTCCTTGCCCTCATCTGTGAGTATCACCATGACTGAACCCAAGTCACCTGTCCTCTTCCCCTCACCTGACGCTCACACTTCTGCACTGAGCCTCGCCCTCTCCCCTCCGTGCCTCACCCGAGATGATGTCCCAGAGCTGACGCCGTCGAGCAGATTCATTCTCCTTCCGCTTCCCTGCTCTTCCGGCCCCTCACTCAATCAGTCCGCATGCCACCGAAGAGATCCAAGCGTGGTGCTCCTTGGGCTGCTATCAACGCTCGCAAAGCCCAACTCGAAGAGGCCAGGGCCCGAAGGCAAGCTCAGGCACTCGAAGCCGCTGCTGAATCCGCTCGCGGTGTCCTTCTGCCCACTGAACCAGCCATGCCGGCCGCTCCCATCCTTCCTCCCATGCCCGCCAGGGACTTCAACGCACCCCCTGCCCACGGAACCAGGGCTGCGGCTGCCCGAAAGGCCGTTCACATCTTCAACACAACCTCCGGACCCCTTGTACGTCTGACCTTCCTCTCCCTTCTACTGCATCTTCAACTGACACGCCTTGCAGTACGGCATTGGCGAAGATGATGAAGAGGCTGAAGCCGACGTGACCCAGACTCATGAGCGTCTTGAGGCTCATGCTGCCGCCGAGGCCTTGCAGAAGCTCTCGCAGGACACTTCGTACACGACTCCGCCTCCCGATATTGCCGCCGCCATGGATCGTCAACGCAAGCGCCAGGGCGGAATCTTCACTCCCATTTCCTTCCTCCCGCCTGACTCTGAGGACAAGGAGACAGAACTGGAATCTGAGAAGGAAGCCGAGATCGCGACACAGGAGACGACGGAGCCTGAAGACGTTCCTGCCCCTCCCCGCACTCCTTTCGCTAACACTCTTGCTGGCGGACATCTTCCTCCAGCTTTGGTCGGTCCCAGGGCGCGTGTCGAACTCCCGCGCCCGGAGCTTCCTCGTCCCGGCCCCACAAGGCCCTTCACTGGCTTGGCGCGCCCCAGGGTCGGTCAGCCGAACCTTGCTCCACGTGGTGGTGGCAACAATGGACGAGGCCCTTCCACCCCGAGGGCGAAGTACTACACGAATCCCCATCATGGCCCAAGCCGATACGGCGGATGGTTTGAGCACGTCCGTGGCACTCCCTACGGTATCTCGGACACTCCCACTCCTCGTCGCGTTCTTCCGCCCCCGAGGGAGTACGTGTGGCCCCATGAGAAGGGCTTCGGTGTCATCAATGAGCCGGTCATCCCTCCCAAGCCCCAGGAGCCTGGTCCTTCTGAGGAAGACGATGGCTCTGAATGGTGTGCGGTCCCCTCCCCCGAGATGAATCAAAGAGTTGAGACTGATGCTGAGAAGCGCGTCGATCCTGATGTCCATATCCTCCGGCCCCAGCCCCTCGTCGTTCTTCTGAGCGAGCAACCTTCCATGCCCGCTGCCGGCTCGTCGACCAGGACGAAACGGATGATTACGACTTCCACGACCCTACATCATGACAACGATACATCAGTCAAACAGCATCGCTCAAGCATCCCCTCCTACTCGGTAAGCCTGCCTGTTCCATGGCGATGACTTGACGTAGGTTGCTGACGCAGAGAGCAGAATGGCAATCTCAACAACGACAGCTTCACCAACGACATACTCTACGCTCGCGAGCTCTTCGGCGGCTCCCTAATGCACGACTTCAGATGAAATACTGCACATTTCATGGCTGAGTACTTTCTTATGGTTTCAAATGCGGTTCACATAATGATGGTGGCGAGGATAAAGCGAGACGGACATGAGATTACGACACGACAACATGGACACTTACTGGCAGGGATTTCCCTTTTGCTTTCACCTCAGATGCATGCACATAGATGTTGCTCTTTCTTGCTTCGATCGGCTTCACGCCACAAAAGTTCACTGCAAACAATGGATGGGTCATTCATAAGATAGTTGCCTTGCATTCGTGACTACCCGTGATTCTGTGTGAAAGGAGAAAAGGAAAAGGAATCCACCATGTCTGGCCTTAAGAATTCTGAGTCTCCAGCCATTGTGCCGGCATCCATATCAGCAAAGTGGGCGTGGTCCTGTAGATAAGGAAAGGCCCGAGCAATCACCATCCATTTCCATCCATCCCCAACCTGCTCACCCAGGCGCAGTATATCCGCCACCACGACCATCAGTCAGTCAGTGGAAGCAAAGAAAGCCAGACCCGCTTGATTTACAAGCTCTTGGCCGGCTCAGCAGCAAAGGCGACAACACGTCCATCACCAGAGCTGCCACCGCCCTCAGCGTTGCCGCCATCGCCGACAGCAGCAGGAGCGGGAATCGTGAACTCGCCAGGAACAGGAACACCACCGCCGCTGTTGTTGTTGTTAGCAGGGACGGCAACACCACCGCCACCGCCGCCGTTGCCGTTGTTGTCATTGCCACCAGCAGCCAGGTCCGCAAAGTGTCCAAAGTCAACCGGGATAGCATTGTTCGCCTCGAACGAAGCGGCGTTGGCGGCAGCGGTGGCCTCGGCGTCAGCAGCGGCGTTGGCCTCGGCGGCTGTGACGCGACCAGTCCTGTTCGCGGCAGTGTTGGCGGCCGTGGCGCGGTCGATGGTGTTGGCCGAGCCAGATCCCGTGCCGGAGTTGGAGCCAGGAGGGGAGGCCGGGGTGATGATGTTGGGAGAACCGGGGGGCGAAGCGGGCGAAGAAGCAGCCGGAAGAGCGCCGGACGCGACGGGGACACCAGCAGACGGGACGACGACGGGCGACTTGGGAGTGCCGACGGGCGAGCTGGGGGTGATGGGCGAACCGGGCGTGGTGACGGGCGAAGCAGGCATGGTGACGGGCGAAGCAGGCGTGACAACGGGAGAACCAGACGCAACAGCAACAGCAGCATCAGCAGCAGCCGCAGCGTCCTTCGCCGCGTCCTTCTTCAGATCCTCGCTCGCCTTGCGCACGCGCACGCCCATGCCACGCGGCCCGCGGATGATCGTGCCGCCCAGAGGCCTGCGCAGGGCCTGGCGTCCATCAGCCGTCTTAGCAGCGTGGTCGATCGTAGCGGTCGTAGCGGGGACGATGCCGCCGTCGGCGGAGACGGTGGAGGCGTTGGCAGAAGAAACGTCGTCGGGAGTGAAGCGAGGAGCGCGGATGGCGCCGCCGGTGCGAGGGTCAGCGGTAGTAGTAGCGACGGCGACGGGGCCGAAGGCTGTGCCGCCGCGGGCGGCGGTGCGGGCGCGTTTGATGTTCAGCTCGCGGTCGGAGGGGGTGGTGATGTAGTGCTCGGAGCCGCCGTCGTGGCCGTGGGAGCAGGAGCAGGCTGAGCCGGAGATGGCGGTCGTAGACGCGTTGGGGGTGTTAGCGCCGCCGCCGGCGTTGCTGTGGACGGCGGATCCTCCATGGAGGCCGGATTCGAGGTCGCGGATTACGACGACGGTCCGCTGGCGGCGCGGACGGCTGCCGCGGTTGCGGCTTGGGTCATGAGGGAGGCGAGGGCCGAAGAAGACGTAACGACGGCGGCCGCGAGGGACGCGCATGAAAGCTCCGCCGGCAGGGTGGATGGTCAGACGAGTGGGACGGAAGACAAGCCACTTGATGCCAAAAAAGGCGACGACGGGGATTATAACCGCGAGTAGGATGAACATAGCGACCTCGACGTTGGGGCGCATGGTGTCGGACATGGTGAGCGTGACAAGCGCGAGACTGCGGGAGAGCGGAGCGCGTCAGTGAGGTGCGTCATGTTGGAGAGGTGGAGGGTGAAGGTGAGGTGGTGGTGAAGCGGGATGGAGGATGCGTACGAGATTCTTGAAGTGTTGACGACCCGTGAGACAAGACAGCGCAAGGCTAAGGAGCGTTGCGAAGCGCCGTGCGTGCGAGGAGTTAGCGATGCGCACGCGTTGGTGTCTGGGTGGCGGGTGGAGAGGAGAGGAGTAAGTGTGCGCCGGAAGTTTGGTGTTTATGTGCGCGACGCGGTCGCCCGCACGACGCCAGGGTCCGCCGGGAGAGAAACGCGTCGCGCGCGCTCTGCGATGCGCTCGAGGCCAGCGAGCTTTGCAGATGCTCCAGGAAAAGGAAATATCCCGCATGCTTCATGAGCGAAACGTCTCTCGTCCGCCTGGTCAGGCTATCCTGTCTCTCTTCTGCGTCCCACGGGCATTCGATCACTTCAGGCGTGGCTTTCTACGGGCTTGTCTGTGTCGCAGATTTGGACTCCTAGTAAAAGCTCTTCTTCATCAAAGTGACTGCCTACGTCCTGGGCGGCAATCGCGCGCCCGTACGACCTCAGACACAGCGTTCGGCGGAGTCAAAGACCCGGCGGCAACGAAGGACAGTCCGACCAAACTTTCTGGCAGCTCGAATAGCACACTGACCCCCTCCATCCCATTACTGCCGGGCACAGGCATCCTGTGCTTCTTTTCCGCCGTCGCTGTTCATGGTTCGGCAAAGTTGGACCGAACCCACGTCCATGAAGCTCCTGTCCGGTCCGGCGTGAGAACATTCCATGTCAAGAAGCGAGGCATCCATTCATTGCCTCTGCTTGTGCGCTGAAGGGTAGAAGCAATCCGCATAAGTGTCAGGTAAAACAGCTGACAGACCGTGAGACGGGTAAGTATACAATCGTATGCAATTTTCAATATCGAGGTGCGCCATAACAAGCCTCAGCCGTACGGGGTGCTGGCAGCGTTAGATATACGTTTTTTGATGTTGCGAAATGGAAGCCCAGATGGCTTATATACAGCGTGGATACTAAGTCGCATTTGCTACCTGCGCAAGCAGTGCACAATTCCTGGAGCACGTGGTGTCACGCGACGTCCTTTAGACTTTGCCGTCTTGTTGGATGTGTCGTGGTTATATTAGAGATATCACGCGTCCGCCGCCAGGATACTGTTCGCAAACAATGGCCATTCACCACCATGGTAATCAGGAACAGAAGTGTCCAGAAGAAGAGCAAAATGGCAAGGTCATGCATATCAAGAGGGAGTGCGGTGTCGGACTCGCGTAAATTGTCTCTGCAAGAGCGCGCCTCACGAAGCCCAGTCGATAAGTTACTCAACATTGTTTTGATGGGCAGCCATTTGGTCATTACAAAAAGTCTACTTTATTTCATTTCAAAGTTTCCATCATTTGCTCCGTACTCTTTTCAGGTCATCTATTTCGTAAGTATAAGTTGCCTACAGACATCTTATAGGTCATCGTGCGTCGTATCCCTTGTATTCCAAGCCGGTCATTTTATTGGGTGTGCTGCAGCCACCTCATTCAGTTGGTGGAGACTACAAGCATGATCGTCTTGTGCAAATAGATATCACATTTCCGCAGCGCTGGCCGGCTAGGAAAATACTTGAGGTTCTCTCCGTCTCGGAAGCGCTGGAGCTTGACTGCTTCTTCATGACATGGGTTACTTGGTGGTCATCCTCGAGGCCCATCAGCGAGCAGAGCGCACGAGACATGACCTCTGCGAAGCTGACCCACGGTCATCAGGCATGGAGCGAGGGTACGTGCGGCATGGCGCTCATGTGCAACATCACGAACGAGCATGACCATGAACGATATAAACAACACAGATTTTAATCGTTCCAGCTATAAAACCTCATAACAAATCTTTGCCGCCTCCGCGTTGCTGTACCTCCAGTACAATGGAACTACTAAGAGTCAACATGGTCACAGGCAAGCATTCACGTAAGATCCATCGCATGATATTGCTATGCTGAACTATCGAACCTTTGATGTCCAGCTTCCAGGTTGTGGTCCTCAATCAGGAGGACAAACGCAACACTCCTTGTGGTGCTGCAGAGATTCGTCATCAAACGCTCTTCCAAGACGATCTCGCAAAAGGGCCCAACACTTTCCAGAACCCATTGTATCCAGACAGACGAGAGGCGCTCCTCATACGCAGCGTGAAGCGCAGCCTTGCCAATCCATCCAACGCCCCAAGCCTGGGCATATCAGAGCAAATATTGAAGCCAAACACCAAGAAACCCCGAGCCATCATCAGCTCCATGCTCCGTTTTTGGTACTGCTGCTGTCGCTTTTCTGATTCGTTTTCTGCTTCCATTTCTGCTTCGTTTTCCGTTTCGTTTTCTGCTTCATCTTCTGCTGCTTCCGCTAATGCTTCGTTTTCTGCTGCTTCTGCTACTGCTTTTTCGGCTGCTGTTCCAATAGTCTTACTGCTGCTGCGACGGCAACGACGACGACACCTCAAGCCGCGCCTGCGCCCCAGCCACGAACCGCCTACCACCTCAACGGCGGCGCCGAGCCACTCCTCTTCCCCTTCATCGCCTTCGCCTCCCAATAGAACGGCTGGCCCTTGATCTTCACATCCTCCGCCGACCTCTGCCTGCGGAAGCCCACCAGCTGCGTAACACTCGTATTAGCGCTCTTCTGCTGTAGGCTCGTCAAGACGCGCTCAGCGGGGCGGCGCAAGGTGCTGGCGAGGCTGGCCGAGCGCGAGCGCGGCTTGCTGGACCTGCCACGCTTGGTCGTGGTGTCGGCGCTTCCGGCGCGGCGAGAACGGGCGAGGTCGCTGCGGCGCTGGATCTCTTCCATCGAGTAGCTGTTGCCGCGCCGCTCGACGCCGGGGAGCACGTCGTCCAGGCAGTGCGCTTCGCGGAAGCCCTTCACGAAGCAGAAGATGATGACGGAGCCGATGATCAGGCCTGAGAGGGAGCCGCCGACGATAGTGAAGGCGAGGAGGTTGCCTGATATCATGGTTGTTGGTGGTTGCGAGAGGCTTTGGCTTGTGGGGTTTTTGAGGAGTTTGGAGGAGTTGGTGAGGCGGTTGGACTGGCTTTTCGACGCTTGGCGGGTGCGGTGCGGTGGTGGTGGGGTGAGGTGGGTGAGGCGGAGTGAGCGGATGGATGGTGGAGGAGGTGTGGACGGGTGAGGAGGAGGGAAGATGGGGGCGCCGCTGGACAGTGATGGATGGATTCCCGAATGGGGTATCGGCCGGAAGAACTTGCGCCGGGTGGGTGTTAGATCTTATGCGCGACGGCTGAGTGCGCTGCTTTCAACACCGTCACTCAATCACCATTCCCATTCACGCGGTCGCACCGTCCAGGCGCCCTCGTCGTCCGATCGCCATGAAGACCATCCAGCCGCCTCCGGAGCCGACCTCCAGACCGGCAAGCTACGAAGCGCAGTCCGCCGTCCATCGCGTGTTCGACATAGTTGAGCTCCGCGAGTCGATCATGATGTCACTTGTCTACGACACAAACAACCGCACAGCGGGACTGAGAGACCTTATGCCATGCCGACTGGTCAGCCGCATCTGGTACCGTTCCGTCAAGGCCATTGCCTACAGCAAGGAGATGCGTCGTGAGTTCATGGTCAACGGAAAGCCTAAAGCCTACGGCTACCACCTCGCGCCGGTGGCCTGGAAAGATTTTCTGCGCAATGACTCCTTTTCCCCGATCCCAACCAGGCTTGGTGGTCGTCATGGCGATGTCATCTACACCTTCCGTCCTTGGGAACAGCTGGTGTTCAACCCGTTGCTTGCCGACGTGCTCGTTCTATCCAGGGCGGTTGATACTACCTTTCAGGGCGACAAGAGGCTCTCTCGTGGCATGTTCATCTTCGATGGAGATCTATGCCCCAACGCTGAGTCCAGCTGCTGCGAAGGCGTGAAGGAGCTGCAGTACAGAGCGTCAGCAGCCTGGGATGATGGCGCCAGCAACGACGGTTCTTTGCCCGACAACACCGATGACGGCAACGAGGAGGTTGAGAAAATTCGTCTGAGCATCACCAAGACTCTGACCACATGGCTCAAGGAATCCACTTTCTTTGGATATTCTTCCAACCCCGTTACCATCTTCGACCTGATCCCTTTTCGCCACTGTTATCTCACTGATCGCGCCACCTGCCTGATGGCGTTTTACTTCGGAGGCTCAGTGGACAAGACCGATGGCGTCAGGATCCCGCTGCGTGGCTTACACGAATGCATGGCTAGGAGCAAGACCGGCATCAGGATCGGCCATCTGGTCGTTCTTTGCGCTCTCCGCCACAACTACCTCAAGTGGGGTGAAACGAAGCGAGGTTTCGTGTTTGACGACGAGCATATGATCATTATCGAGGAGGAGGACGATTGGTTTTGCACCTTCCCCATGGAAAGTAGGATGCTGCCGGCGGACAGAGAGCTATGGATTTCCAAGGTTGAGGGCAAGGAGACGTTTGATCCGGCGAACCGTGAGGGTGTTGTCGTCACCAACATGTAGGAGGGACTGGAGATGCTGGGCTATGGTTGGATCAGCCTTTACTACCACGATATCAAGGAGTCAATCCTGACCAACGAGATTGCTACGGCCCCTGCCACCGAGCGCTGAACTTAGGGATCTTCATGGGTTGCAGTAGCTAGATTCTCCTTTTTTGGCTAAGAACTGCGAAGCATAAAGGGACATTAGGATAATGACAGTGCCAAAAGAAATGGTCTCAATGATTATCTTCGCGAGCAAGTACACCCGACTTACGTAGGGAGCTGGAGCTATCGTCCGGACGTAAATGTAGAATTATTAAATGTACATTTACGTCCGGACGATAGCTTCAGCTCCCTATGTTAGGATCTCAGATCTGTCAGAATTCTGGTGGTTTAATCTTGCGGTTTGGCTTTACGAGATTGGGGCCATGATGGCAAAAAACTGGCTATCGTCACGGTTCATAATCAGTAGCAAGAGAGACTAAGTTATCCCTATCAATTCACATGGCGCTTCAGCGCTCTAAGCTACAGTTCCGCCAGAGAGATGCACACACGGCATCCTCAAGGACCCCATCGATCCTGGCGCACAATCTAGTCTATCTCGTTACAAGCAAGAGCTAATCTAACATCTCAATCTAGTCTTTTTTGAAAACCACAACTCCTTCAGAATATTAGCATCGTCGTTTTTTGAAAGTTGCAGCTGCTCCAATATCCCAATCTCGCTTTTCTCGTAAAATGCAGCAGCGGCAGAATGTCGGTCTCCTTTTTTTGTAGCAAACTCCAGCCAGTCCAGTATAGCAATCTGATCGTCGTTCTCGTAAAGTGCAGCTGCTCTAGTATGCCAATCTCGTCCTTTTCGTAAAAGGCAGCTGCTGCAATATCAGTATCCCAATCTCGTCTTTTTTTCGTCGTAAACAGCAACTTCAGCAATATCGTATCAGCTCATCGCACCACCGCACACACCGATCAAGCCGAGCATCAAGTGACCTCAACCCCTCAGCAAATTAACCACCCTCCTCGCCAACCTCCTCACCGCATCCACAATCTCCGGCCTGAGCACCTGCTGCCCCTGCCCCTGCTGCCCATCACCCCCGCCATAAATCCTCCTGCGCCTTAGCGGACTGTTCATCCTACTCGCCACCCCGCTCTCCTGGCCCCGCGCCAGCGCAACCAACTCGTCGCGGCCCGCCTGCTCGAGCGCGCGGAACAGCGGCGCGACGGCGATGACGGTGTTTTCGTCGTGCTGCTCCGCCACCCGCACCATCGCGCGGAAAGCCTCTTCGGCTTGTCCCCGCCCGCCGAAGCGGATGGCGTTGAGGAGGAGTTGGCGCTGGTCGCGGATGCGCGCGACGGAGATGCGTGCGGTCAGGGTTTGGCCTTGGAGGGGGGTCCAGGTTGCGTTGAGGTTGCCGCCCGGCGCGAGGGAGGGGTTGGGGCGAGGGGAGCGAGGGTTGGACGGGGTCGGCGAGACGGAGCTGCGCGACCAGAGTAGGCGGCGTACGTTGGAGCCGGCTGGCTGGGCGCGAGGTGTGCGGCGGCCGGCGGTCTCGGCGTCGGAGTCGTCGTCAGAGTCGGACTCGGAGTCGCTGTCCAACTCGGGGTCCGGGTTGGGCAGCTCGCCCCTCCTCCTCCTCGCGAAGCGGTCGGGGATCAGGGCGTCGAAGTAGCTCGGGCGCGCGTCGCTGCGGATCATGGTGTCGTTGACGTCGTCGTTCGCGCCAGCGTCGCCCGGCGGGACAGCCTGGGGGACTTGGGGGAACTCGGGGGCCAGCGTGAACACAGTCTCGCCGGTGGACAGGGGCTCCGAGGGCGCGAGCGTGTAGACGGACGACGACGCTGCCGACCTGTTGGAGGACCTGCGGCTGCCGTTGTCGCCACGGCCATTGTCGCTGGGCGTGAGCGAGCGCAACTGTCTCGGCGGGAGACGCAGTTGGGGCAGTTGGATCGGGGCACGGCGGGAGCGGTAGGAGCGCGGGTCGGTCAGGTCGCGGCTCGGGCTACGGCTGCGGTTGAGGCGCGAGTGAGTGGGCGTGCTGGGCCTGATGGGCCTGATGGCTTGGACAGGCGTGCGGCCGCGCTGTTGCGGCTGGATGTCGTCGAAGCCTGGGAAGGCTGGGCTGCTGCGCTGGATCGGAGAACTCGCGTTGGTGACGTCCTGGAGCGGGTGGCGTCCGCGGATCGGACCGCCGCCGTTGCGGTGCTCCTGGAAGAGGGCAACGCGGTTGACGCGGTTGGCACGGTTGGCGCGGGCACGCTCAGCATCGCGGATGGCTTGGTGGCGCTGGGCATCGCGGGGAGCGTCCTGGAAGGGGCTGTTGCGGGTTGGACTGCCGTTGGTCAGCTCTCCGAGTGGCATGCGCTGTACTGGCAGCAGGCGGTTCTCCTCGTTGTTGTTGTTGGGGCGCTCGCGGAACTCGCGGGCATCGGTGATGTCGCGGAGGGGGGCGCGGCTTGCGGGAGCCTGCTGAGCTTGGCGGATGGCGTTGTTATAGAGGCGGATCTCTTCGTTGCGGATGAAGAGCTCCCGCTCCAGGGCTGCGATGCGTTCCGGGCCATCCGGGGGCAGTGCCAGAGCCGTGTTCTGTGCCGGTGGAGCCGTGTTCTCCTGCTGGGGATCATTCTCGTCTTCTCCATCTTCGCTCTCAGGCAGACCGGTACCAGGCTCGTACTTGATCACTACATGGCGGCAGCACGGACAAGTGTCGAACCAGGGGTCCATGAGCCAGTGGGTTATGCACTCTTTGCAGAAGTAGTGGTTGCATGGCAGGCGTACCGCAGGATAAGGGCAGTCAGCGGTGGGCTCAGGGAAGTCGTCCTTGCAGATCGCACAGGGTTTTTCCTTGGGCGGCACTCCGGGTTCCAAAAGCCTCTCGATGACCAGAGCCCGTGTTGGTGACGCCTCACGGTCATCGCTCATGTTGTCGGGCGTGTACTCCCTGTATCTCTCCTCACTGTTATCATCGTTGCTCTCATCGGAAGGCGTAGACGAAGGCGTAGAAGGGGGAGTGGCCGGAGGATCGTCCATATCATGGTCCTCGCTCTCCCTCTGCCTTTGGGCCTGGTTCCTCGTAGTTGGTGGCATAGCGAAAGCGTTGCGGTTGCAACCCGACTTCAAAGTCTGTCAGAGTTGCCAGCGGGTGAGGAGGGTCGGTCCTTGGGAAGGAGAGTTTGTGGTGGTAAGGAGAAGGATCGCTCAGAGCTACGGACCTTGGGTACGAAAGTGTCTGTGAATGTAAACTCAATAGCGCCATCGTCCTTGAACGATGCACTGCAAGGTGTTATGCGGCATTGTGGACCCCACCCTCTTACAATCACTGGCAGTGTTAAGCAGCAAGTAGTAACTGTATTCAGCTAGCCCCTCTCTCGCTGGCCAGTACAGACACTACAGCTCTCTCGCAGCTGATGGCTAGCGTTGGGCTTTGCTCATGTCATTCTTGGTTGAAGCTATCGTCTAACAAGAATGCGGAAGTAAACACTCTACCTACACCTCCGGTCGACAGCTTCAGCTACCCGCAAATGCCATTCTTTTCTGGGAAGCATAGCTACGCCTGGGGACTTACTATTCTTCATGCTAGCCGCCGGCTGCGATGCTCCCCTGAAGGCCGGCACTTATCAGGAAAATGTCGCGGAAAGCCAGCAGAAAGTTCTTGTCATACTTGCCTTCTCCCGGCCCCAACGCAGCGTTGCGGGCAGGGTTGGGGGAGATTGGCGGGCCGGTGTTTAGGATCTCGCTAGGCTGTGGATGGTGTTGTGGTCAAGATAGGAAGAGGGGCAGATATGTCACATCTCTTGCGGGTCAGACATTGCGGAATTCACGGGTACATGAGGAGCAGGTCGAAATGGATCACACAGTAATGGTATTCAGCTATCTACCAGTGTTCTTCTGGCATGACATTGCTAGTGCAGCGAGGACTGTTTCTGTTAGAACCCGTACTAGCAAATTCAAATGATCGACTTACTCATTGCTTCGCTTCAAAAGTTCCCGCAGAACACCTTCCTCATGCTTGCTGATTAGGCCTGATTGTTGTTTTCATGGTATTCTCCAGAGGACTGGCTGGTTGTGCGTGGCTTGACTTCCCAATTTTCCTTCATATGCCAGCAGTGTGCCGTGATAATGTTCAGTATCCGCTGTGGCGGGCGCTCCTCCTGAGACCGCAAACGTACATGCTGCCCAGCTGCACATCGTCTTCGCTGTCATCTCCATCCGAGGAGGCGACCGAGACGCTGGCCCCGTCATCCTCATCCATTTCGTTGCCAGAACCTCCAACCTCCTCATCGTCGTGGTCCTCCCCTTCCTCTGAACCATCGTCACCCATCACAGTGTCTCCATCATCATCCTCTCCAACAGTCGACGAGGCCCCTTCAGAATCAGAGTCGTCGTCAATCGTAATTCTCAGCGGCTCCTCCCAGAGCTGGCGGCGGCAGTAGGGGCAACTGTTATTCGGCACCTCGAGAAGCCAGGTCATGATACACTTCCGGCAGTAGGGATGGCCGCAAACGAGCTGCACGGCAGGAGCGTGGCCATCGTCCGTCGGTTCGGGGAGCGGATCCAAGCAAATAGTGCATTTTTCCTCGTCGTCGATCGGGCCCAGCACCGGGGTCAACAGCGAGGCGATGTATGCAGCGCGTTCGCCAGGCGTCGCTTCTGCCACTTCGCGGAAGTGGCGGGGGAAGGGAGGCTCTGGGGACTGGGGGGGAGTAAAGCCGGGAAATGGGGTCACACTCCTCTGCCGCTGCTCGAAGTCGTTGTAAGGGTCGGCAAAGCCCCAGACGGGATCCATGGTGGTGGTGGATGGTTGAGGAACTCCGGTGGTTGTGGGATGGTGGGGAAGTGTCTGGGTCGGCGAGGGCGCTCATGAAATATGCACGGTGGTCAACATTGTTCGCCGATAACACGGCATGGCAGTTAGTGATTGAAAGAAGAGCCAAAGAATCATCATTTAATACATAGAATAAGCAGTAGAAGGGCTAGTAAAAGCAAGCCGGCTCTGTGTTATCAGGCAGTCAACAAACGCTTTTGCTGGGAGACAGTTTTCCTTCCACTCGTTTCAGCGTCTTATTCAGACGGTCAACTTTCTTCTCTCGCAACGCCGTATTCCTTTCGCAAGAAGCACTTTGTTAGCGAAAGATCACCACACCCCTGTACACGGGAACACTAACTCGAGGCTCGTTAAACAGCCTCCGGCGGCACAATGGACAAGTGTTATGCCGATCGGCCAGCCAGATCGTGATGCACTCACGGCAAAAGTAATGGCCGCAAACGAGCATGACGACAGGAGGCCGTTCCGCCTCGAACTCTGCGGGGCGGTCAGCCAGGCAGATGGCGCACCTGAAGTCAGGTGCGGCCTCGGCGTTGTTCAGGATGGATGCGATGCACGAATTGCGGACAGCTGCTGGAGCACGCCGACGGCGCCAGACGAGGAATACCGCCCGGTGCACCTGCGGGAGGGGACTCGGATCGTCAGGGAGAAGTGAGCGCCAGAGGTAGAAGACGGCGCGCCAGAAGATGAAGTCCAGGCAGAGGATGGCCAAGTCGAGGCAGATGGCGACGACGTGAGCGACTGAGGGGGGCAGGTAGGGAAGAAGGCTGCCGCCGAGGTAGATCAGGGCGAGGACGCCCATCAGAACGCGGAGATTGGCAGCCATGGTGTTGTTCGGTCTGCATGGGCTTGGTATCGTGCTGGTTAAATACTTGTGTGCGAGGCCTTGTTTCTGCACCTGCGAACAAGGCATTGTTTCTGGACATTTTCTGAGAACCCAGCGTTGGTTTCGGGCGTGGCGTTGTTGGCAGGTGCGACGGTCAAGGGGGGTATTGCAGCGGAAGGCCACCGTTAATTTGTTTCGGGGAAAAACCAAACGGGACTTTTGCTCATGTCATTGCCCATGGGTAGTTGAAGCTATCGTCCGGACGAGAATGTTTAATTTTTAATTCGACATTTCCATACGGACGATAGCTTCAAATACCCACATATGTCCACTTTTAATTGCTCGTGGTGGTTACTCGTCAGGCATAGACAGCGACGAATAAGAGGACATCAGGGGGTATTTGAAGCTAATTTCCGGACGCATCTGTATAATTTAATAAGGAAGGCGCAGGTGTTGCATCGCCCCAGGTTGCGGCGGCTGGTTGAGGAAGGCGCGGGCGGCGAGCGATGACGCGACACCTCAGCAGCCTCTCTTCCACCACACACTCTCATCACTCATCGCCATCCGTCAGTCTTCACACATCATCGCTATCCATTAATTGACATTTGCCGATTATCCTTCACTCTTTTACCTACCTCGCCATGTCCGTCGCAGCCACGCCCGATCCCATGCCGGACTCGATGGCTTTGTGGTTCAGGACTGGCGAACGAACGGAGATCGGTCATGTCTACTCCAAAGCTATCGTGAAACGCTATACCAGTAACACTGCCCGCGACACGAAACGGAAAGAGGAATGGATCCTCTTCAAGATCAAGACGCTGTATCGCGGAGAAGCTCCCAATTTCGTCAACATCCTGCACGGTTACAACGTTTGCATCGAACCGCATATCGTGATGGAACACTGTACTGGCGGCGACCTGGTAGCATATCGAAAGCGCATCCTTGGCCAGAGCGGACTCAGCCAGTTTCCCGAAGCCAAGATCTGGGACGTCTACTCGGCGCTCGTCAGCGCCATCAAATTCCTCCAGTACGGCCACCCCGGCTGGGACGCTCCCGAAAGCGCACGTTGGAAGTCCATCGCACATCGCAACATCAATCCGAGAAACGTGCTCGTGCGCCTCAAGGGCCCAAACTCATCCGAAGAAGGACCAACCGAGCAGTACGTCCTCGCCGACTTCAGCTCCGCCACCGAATTTGGCGGAACGGAGTGGGATTGGGAGCCACAGCGGCAGAGAGACCGAGACACAGTTGTGTACATTGCGCCGGAGGAAGTGCAAAAGGAGCTGGCTGCCTTGACGAAGAGTGATAAGCCGAAAACCGACGAGAAGAATACCGGCGAGAGGGCTGACATCTGGAGCGCCGGCGCCGTCGTCCACTTCCTCGCCCTGGGTCGCCCGCCCGTTGCCCACAAAATGGACCCAGCCTACCTGTACCCGCGTCCTGGCCCCTTCTGGCTCACCCTCCCGCGCGTCCCAACCTTCATTGATGGGCTTTCCGTCGGCACAGAAGCGGAGGCTGGCACCCAACCGCCCAGACCCACCTACTCGAGGCAACTGAACTGCCGCATGATCGAGGCGCTAGCCTTCGATCCGGCCAAACGTGCTACGGCCGAAGGTCTCAGCCGGGCGTGGAGCGCCGCCACGAAAACAGTGCGCCGTAGACATAGACGCTGGCCCTCGGCGAGACCAGGCTTCTTCGCGCCTTTCAGGGTGCGAGCGAGCGACGGCAGTATGGCCGTTTTGGCACGCCTACCGCCTCTCACATTTCCCGGGCGCGAAGTTCTCACACCCTTAACTCCGCTGTGTCCCGCGCCATCGGTGGAGATGGACCTTCAGGGCATTCCGTTCGATCGCGGTCTTAAGGCATACCGCAAGTCGCACCCTCGTCGGCACGGAAGCTTCGACGATGGCTGGCGCCCTCCCCTGTTCGAATGGGAGAAACTTCAAGATGTCGACGAGAAGGTCAAGGCGAAGAAGACCCAGATGAGGCAACTCTACACGCACATGACGGCCATTCTGCAGTACCTGATCAACGAGAAGCAGCGCAACGTCCCCTTCTGGCCGGCTGGTGCTGGCCCTCGCGGCATCCCAGACCCTCTTCCGTGCCCTATGCCAACTACACGGTCTCGCTACCACGACGCTCGAGAAATCCTGTGGTGGTGCAGACACAAACCTGAGAGGACCCGCGGATCAGGCAGCTTCCATGACGAAATCGACGAGTATCTCCGCACAGGCATCCTCCCCACGGACATGGATGATGATGAACCGACGCCGCCGCCGCCACCTGGGTCTCCGTCGCTCTATACTTCTTCTGGACCACTCCTTTTCACATCTCCAGATGATGCTTCTTCGATGCCGTCTCTGACTGACGACTCTAGCGATTCTGAGCCGCCGGATAATCTGAATGACCCGCCTACCCCCAATGGCAAGGATTCCAGCGATTCCCGTGAGGACTCTCCCGCCGATGAAGGAAACCCTCCCGCCGAAGAAGGAAATTCCCCTGCCGCAGAAGGGGGCCCTACGCACGCTGCTGCAAGTGCTGTTCCGCCACGGGAACCAGCGCAGCAGAACCTCTCAGACAGCATAGACGACGGGTTCTGGCAAGCTATAAGCCAACTCGGCCAGGCCGGCCGAGAAGCGTCGGGTCTGGCCTCCACCCTCGGCGCAGGCGGATCCCGACCGCCATCGGACTCAGGCGGCGGCGGTGGCGACGACAACAACAACGACGCCGACGACGAGGGCGACGGATGGGAGACTGGATCGGGTGGTGACGACGACGACGGAAGCGACGACGACAGCAGCGACAGCGACTCATCACCCAGCGAATCGTCTGAGGAATCAGACTCTGAGCAATCCAATGTACTAGAGCGGGTGAGTTGGCTCATGCGTCACTGGCTTTGGATGTGGACAGAGCGCTTTTACGACCTGCGGGACGAGAGGTGGCTGGAGCGCGAGCGGCAGCGGATGGTGCAGGACCAGCTCCCGACGATCCGAGAAAGAAGAAGAGAAGAAGATGTTGGAGTAGCAGTAGTAGCTGACGCTTATGTCGAACAAGCCGCACAACGCCCCGTCGCCGGAGGATCAGCCGCCGCCACCAACTTGCCGCCACCGCTGCCGCCGCCGGCTGATGGCGTGCCTGACGCCGCTTTGGACGTGCGTGAGGGCGACATTGAGCTGCAGCCCATGCCGCCGCGTGGTCAGAGAGCGAAGGGAAAACAGAGAGCGCGCGATGAGGGTGAGGTGGTTCTTCCGACGCAGCAGCCCCCCAGACCGTCCTCGTCCTCATCCTCGTCGTCATCGTTATCCGGGGGCAACCACCGCCGTCGCAGCCAGCAGAGCGCCGCTGGCGATCGACCACGACCAGGACCAGGAGGAGCGGCAACCCCTGCTCAACCCCGACCCCAACCACCACCACCACCACCACGACGAGCACAACAACCACCACCACCACCACGACGAGTACAACAACCACCACCACCACCACGAGCAGAACAACCACCACCACCAACGGCAGTAGTAGTGGAGCCAGAGCAGAGGTTGTCTCGGAAAGAGCGGCGGCGGGCAAAGCGGGAGACAAAGCACGCGCAACGGGAGGCGCGGCGGGAGGAAATACTGCGGGCTATGGCGGAGCGTGACCGCGAAGAGCGCGAAGAGCTGGAGCGGCAACAACAACTACAGGGTGATCCCGAACGTGAACCACTACCACCACTTGGCTGGTACCGCCGTTGGTACCGCCGCTGGCCCAACCGCTTCTTCCGCCGCTTGTTTCCCTTGTACCTCTTCGACCCTAATCTGCAGAAGGGTATTGTGTATGTCTGGATTATGTTCGCGCTGGCCGTACTCGGCGCCGTCTGGGTGGCCCTAAGACGACTGATACCGGGGGCATAGGAGGATTGTTGGCGAGTCAGGTATAGCAGCAGACGGTGGTCACTACGAACAGTGCTGGTGGCTGATCGGCTTGTTGTTGTGCGAGGTCTTCTTCTATTACGGGATTGTTGGGGGGTCCCGCTTGCACGTGTTGAGAGTTTGCGTTTTGGGGCAAATGTTTCATGTCAGGTCGCTTGCTTGTCGTGAGTTGTGGGGGAGGGTTTGTTTCATTCTTTTTTTCTTTTTTTTTGGCTCGAGTCGTGGGTTTGACTTTGCTATCCTTGTCGGTGGTTTTTATTAAGGACTTGGAGGTTTGGGAAAGGCAATTTTTTGCCGGAGGAGCGGTCGTTTTGGTAGTCAGGTCTATTGGGGCATTGCGTTCGTCATGATGAGAGAGGACGAGTGGGTTAGCTTTAGTGGGGAATCGATTGCAAATCTTTCTACCGAAACGAAAGGTCTTCCAACTGATTTCCCATCCCTCGAGTCCAGCAAGAATAAAACCAAACTCTCCATCAAGGTAAATACAAGAAAGAAGGGCATAAACAACATCCCCTTTCATCATCTCCAAACGAGCGTCAAAGTTTTGAGTTTTGAGTTTTTGTGTTTCGCAACAAATCATGATCCATGCAACCCATCATCATCACCCCATGTCACCTTCCCCCGCATCATCAACCCCCCCTATTTACAAATTGTCCCCACACACCACCGGCAAATTCCAGGATGTTCTTTTTTTTTTCTTTCCCTCTCGCACTTCGCACTCTTACGCACCACTCTAAGCAGAGAAAGTGCTGTTAAGGTCACCAACCTTAATGTTCGAGTAGACGACGTAGGCGCTAGCGGCGCTCTCCTCAACCTCGCTGGGGACACCAGAGGTGGTGGGGCAAGTACCGCGGGAGATGCCGGGCTGGCTCGGGTCGGCGTCGACGGGGTAGTCGGAGTCGAGCCAGAGCATGTTGCTGTGGTGGTCGTCCCAGATGGACATGACGAGGACCATGCCGGCGTTGAGGGCCTGGCTCATGCTGGCCAAGCCGCCCTGGTCCTGGAACGACGTGTTGTCGCCGAAGACCTCCTTCTGCGCGTCGCAGTACGCGGAGGTGATGCTGTTGCCGCTGACGCCGGCGATGGTGGACTCGGAGTTGGGGATAACCTTGCCGTTCTGGACGTAGAAGCGCTTGATCTCGGAGAGGGTGCCGGACGCGGTGCCGTCGTTGGTGATGAACTGCGTGACGACGGTGACGACCGAGTTGCTGTCGACGGTCATGCCGGGCCCGTAGAAGTCCTTGACGCCCTGGCGGTACGAGTTGAAGTCGCATCCGTCGGGGTCGCAGTCGCCGGCGTAGCGGGTCGCGGAGTAGGTGCCACCGCAGTCGTCGCCAGTGCAAGAGTGCTGGGCGACCGTCTTGCAGCTGTGGGGGGTGTAGGCGGTCGAGATGGAGTTGGCCTCCCAGATATCCATCTCTGGAGGTGGGTGTTAGTGTTTGATTTCGCATAGAGATTGCTACAGGGGAGACATACCAGCACAGCAAGAGCCAAGGTTGCCGACACCAGCGTTGGAGTCGTTCTCGGACGGGACCCAGCCCTCGACGTTGGCCTTGCCGTCGATGAACTTGAGGTCACGGGGGCACTGCGAGTCGCAGTAACCGGTACCGTACTTGGCGCCGGCCTTGTTGTCGGGGAACTTGGCCATGCCACCGTCAGCGTCCATGGAGACGAAGTAGACGGCACCGTTGAGGCCGCAAGGCAGCTTGGAGGTGTCGACGTCGAAGGTGAACTCCTTGTTGAGGAGCTTGTGGACGGCGTAGGTCTCGTCATCCTGCATGAGGTACATGCGGGAGCCAATGTTCTTCTGCTGGCCGTTGGTGATGAAGTTCAGGCGCAGCGAGTCGCCGGAGGTGGTAGCGCCGTAGGTGCCAGAGTAGTCGGCGCCGTCGAGGGCGCAGTTGGAGGCGCACTCGGTGTTGTCGGTGCAGTAGTCGGCGTTCCAGGTGTTGCCCGTGTAGCAGTTGGTGTAGCCCTCGGTGTTGTGGACCCAGCGCCAGTTGGCGTCAACGACGATGGAGCCCTGGTTGGTGGTGCAGCCGCTGCTGGTGCAAGTCTGCCAGGTCATGGAGGGGTGGACCTCCTCCTTCTGGGTGCCGACCTGCTGGCTGGCGGCCAGGGTGGCGAGAGTAGCGAGAACTGCCTGGGTAAGCATGGTGCAAGAAGGAAGCTGAAGTGAATGTGGTTGCTGGATGTCGAGTGAAACAAATGTCGCCATCGGGCATTTTTATAGAGTTCCTGTTCCTGGTGGAAGTCTTCTCGAACGTTGCCACGATCATGTTGGACGGGATTGCGGACCGTCGGAAGCGCGATGCGGTCCAAATTGGCTGCATGGTGGTTATTGGAATCAGACGGTATAGCAGGCGAGAGACTCATCCCATCCGGCAGCGCGTGGAAGAGAGGTGGGAAGACAGCTGTCGGCGGGTGCGTTTCATTCAGGACCCGGGCTGCGTTGATTGGCGGAATGGGGCACAAGCGAGATGGACGGCCAGCGAGCAAGTTGTTTCACGGCTCCAGGCGGGGCGCGGATCCGGCGTGAAGGGCTCCGCGTGGCTGCGAAGGGCTTAGCGAGGGGTTGCTCGTCGGTCCTCAGTGCCGCCCCACACCCCGTCACCTTCGTCCTCTCGCCACTGATCCACCTCTCGCACGATTCGGCTCAAGCGCCCTTGGCGAATGCACGATGGTCCGTCTATTTCCCGAGTAGCCGCCTCGTATATAGAGGGGCTCTATCGCATGCATCACGCGCAGGCCCCGGTCTTCCCCGGTCCAGAACAGGACAGGCTCCGCCCAGTCGGCCCTACCTTCTGCCAATCATGCCACGGCAGCCGCCCGGGGCAGCGAGGTCCATTTAGCCTTTCCTGTGGGGAAGACAGCGATCCGTCCCGGAACCCCCGCAGAATCTGAGATTTACCCGCAGGGTCCGCACGTGTTCCTGCATTTAGCCATGCGGAGTGTCAGTACTTCAGACGTCAATGGCAATGATGGGCGGCATGATGTTTCAGACTTTAAACAAAATTGCTTTCTGCAGGGCGTTCTGCACGCTGCAGGGGCCGATCATGGCCCAATGGGAAAGGCGAAGCCGGCAATATCACGGCAGGCACGGCGACAAGAATTTCGATAAAACATCACAACTCCATTGGAAAACTATAGTCTAGCTAACAACGCCAGCAGGAATCGCGGCGGTTCCGAAAGCGGAAATCCGAAACATCACTCCACCAAACAATTTTGATTTCCTGTCTTCTCCCGCACCCTTTAGCCATGGCCAAGAGCAACGATGCGGTCAGTTACACGGCTCATCGAAGGCACGTTCCACAATTTGCAAAAACAGAGGCTCCCACCCAAGACCGTCGGACTCTCCGAAATAGATCAGGAGATTTTCTGCACGGATGAGTGCAGTCCGGTCAGTGGGGATTGAGAGCCACTCTTGGTATTCGGCAATGGCTTCGTCGCGGGTCTCCAACTCCTCGATGCCAGTTCCGTCTTCAATGCGGGCGGAAGGCCATCTGTACGGTCCGCTTTGGCCGCGTCCACATGGCATGGAAGCGCTCGACGCGCCGAGCGTGGGCCTTCGCCGCATCCGCCTTGTCGCGCCACTCAATGGCGCATTCTAGCAGCTCGACGACGCACCTTCCGCCAGGCCCCACCAAGTTGCCAAAGGTAGCCAGCTCGGCGGCGCGCTCCAGCGACTCTCCATCGCGCAGCGCGGCCAGCACGTCCCTCGCCGCAATGCTGTGCGCATCATGCTGCTCGGCCGACTCGACGGCGGCATCCAGAGTCTCGGCGTACTTCGCGTCCAATTTCTCCCAGCGCGCCGTCGCCGTGCGCACCGCGGACTCGCGGTGCAAGTGCAGCGCGTCGGGCAGGATCAGGGCGAGGCTCTTGTCGCACTGGGCGCGCTTCTGCTCGGCCTCGATGCCGAGGTTGTACAGGAAGTGCACCGTCCACATGATGTTGTAGTCGGCGCGGAGGCGGGCGGGCAGTGTGGCCCGGTGCGGCTCGAGCTTCTGCAGTGCGCTGGCGAACTCCCCTTGGTGGACGCCGAGCGGAAGGAAGCGCTTCAGGCGGGGGCTGACGAACATGCCGGTCGTGGTCTTGAAGGCGGAGCGAACGGTGGCGTGGAGCGGGTCGTTGTAGTAGATGGGGTCGGCCTGCATCTCGGCCAGCCGCGCGCAGAGCTGGACGTGGATTCTGTCAAAGTTAGCCACGGTCCACGCGAGGTAGCGGTCGAGTCCTTGCCTCAGCTTCGCCAGCACCGGGGCGGCATCTATCCAGCTGCCGTCGGCATTCGTCGGACGGGAGAGCTTGTAGGCGGCGAAGTCCACATCCCTCAGCAGCCGCCCGATGTACGGGATGCTGGTGATGATCAGCTGGTGCCACGGCGAGCCCGGGCGGCCCTGGCTAGTGGTGGTCGAGTTGATGGTACTCGCACCGGCATCCAGATTGGCCTGGGTCCAGCCCAACGCGCCCATCAACCGGCCGACCACCAGCACCGTCGGGCCATCCAGCGCATCCGCAACGCTCTGCGCATGGCCGTCCCCCTCCCTCCGCCCAATCTCAGCATACACCCCCCGGACCTGCCTCAGCAGGCTCTTGTACCTCTTCTCCATCCCCTTGACCCAGCCCTCCAAGCCCCCAACCGCAACCTTGTACGCCACCGGCACGCGCATCATCTCCGCCTGCATCCTCACCTTCACCACCTCGTCATCATCGCCGTCCATCCTCCAATACCCCTGCCTCATCGCCTCCACCGCCTCCCTCTCACACCTGCTCAGCCCACTACTACTCTGATCCACCCTCCTCACCCCTTCCTCCGCCCTCACAACCGCCCTCACCGCCCTCCGCGCCCCGGCCCCCAACCTCGCCAACTCCTCCTCCTCCTCCCCCCCATCCGCCAACCGCGCGGCCGCTACCGCGAGCGCACGGAACCACTTCTTCGCGCCCCCATCATCGTCCTCGTCCTCATCCTCCTCATCGTCGTCCCAGTCCCACATCGCGCCGTCCGCCATACCGCGCCTAAGCGCGTGCGCAATCAGCGCGGCATGGTCGTCCGGAGCGTGGTGGGCGCAGGCGGGGTTGCAGGAGGAGCAGGAAGGGGAGGAGCAGGCGCAGGAGGGGGAGGAGGGGGAAGAGGAGGAAGAAGAGATGGTGGCGGGGGTGCAGGCGCAGTGCTGGAGGGCCCAGGACTCGAGGGCGCGGAGGGAGAGGTAGGCCGTGTTGAGCGCCGTGTGGTGCGCGGCGTGGGCGGTGGCGGTGGTGAGGGCTGTGTTAATGCGGCGGGTGCGGGTGTGGGTGGAGGGGGGACGAGGTCGAGGGGGGAGGCGGGGGTTGTGGGTAGTGGCGTCGTTGTGTTGCTGCTCCCAGATGTCGAGGATTGTCTCGGTGGGAGCGGGGTTGAGGCGGGGGGAGGGGAGGGGGGGGGTTGTGAAGGTGGGGCTGGTGGGGGAGGAGGGGGAGTTGTTGTTGTTGTTGTTGTTGGATGCCATGGTGGTGGTGGTGATTTGGGGTAGTTGTTAGTTTAGTCTGTTGTTAGATGTTGCACGTTCTGAATCTGGTTCAGTTCGTGGTAAGGGTTCGATGTGGACCGAGGTTTAGTCTAGGGAAAAGAGCATACCTTCGTACGGTTTATGTAGACGCATGTTTGTCGCTGTTCAAAATTTGACTTTGGTGTTGTATATAGACTATGAGTAGGAAATGGTGTTCCAGGAGTCGGACAACTTGTTCAGAAACTCTGCTTTTGTTGACAATTTTGGTGGATGCGAAATTTCCCTGTCTTCCATGAACTTACTGGCAAAATCATATACAACGGAGACTTGCACTCATAGTGTTGGTAGGTCATTTTGAGACCCTCTAAGATAATCTCTCCCGCTGTGAAATATTCCATCCTGCGACGCCGGTCCACCGCAGGGTGGCCAAGCCGTGGAAGGAAGATGTTCTGTTGGGATAATCACCACATCACAGAGGCGGAATTCAGCCATCTCTAGGTCTTCATAGCCCTCTTCATCGTTTGCCCAGCATCTTCTCGAGGTTTGCCTATTTCAACGTCTCTTTATTATCCAGGACTCAGCTTCGTGGTGCTTTCCTGGATTTCTTTATCTGAAATTTGAGACACGGCATGTACAACGACCAATGGCTACCCTCTTGCAAAGCCCACCTATGCACGGCCTTTTGCAAAAACGTTTCTGTCACGGTCGCTCTGTTCTGACTGTTCTGTCGTCGCATGTAGCACCGTTACTTACAATATCCACGAAATATCTACAAGAGCTGGGATGGCACCCGAAACTAGCCAAGCCTTGTTCTTTGTTCACCCAGCTCGTGAAGCCGGAATTGGAGCCTGTTCTCCACCGATGCAGCTAAATAGTTGGATAGCTGCCGACATGCAAGTCTGGGCTTTCACTGTGAGCGACGGATGTTGCGTAAGGCATGTTTTGTCTCACTTCAGCCCTGCTTGTCCAGCGCCTCGGCGTCGACGGTGCCGGCGTCCAGGTTCGGGATGTGCAGTCACCTCGCACCGGCATCCTCCCACCAGCAGCCCAGTGCGCCACCCGCAGATTCCGGTAACTGCTCTGCTAGAAAGTAGCATTTAGCCGCCAACCTAAAGCGATACCGTAGAAGGCGCATCGTCGCTGCCCGAACCAGGCAACCGCATTCACGAGGGCTTCGTTTTGCAACACGCATGATCCGCCAGCGGCTTCCGCAGACAGCTACGCCGCGCGCTCGTGACGAGCCTCATCCAGCGAAAGCCTGGCGGATGGCCTCATCGCCGTCCTTCCGCGCGTCTGCTGGGCCGTCGAGCCTGCCCGTTCCTTCCATCCGCTTCTTGCACCCTGCCCGAACAGGCATAGCCGAGCCGTTGACCTACCACTCGGCCCCGCCAACCATGCACACGCCGGTGCGATCAACCGGTCTTGGCGCGCCTATAAATACCCCTCGGCTCGTCGCCCACAGCTCCTCTTTTTCTTCTTCAGCTCTCTTTGCCTTTTGGCTTAGATCAAGTGAAGTAGCTGTTCTTTTCAGTTTAATCGCTGGAACGTCCCTACGGGGATTTGTCTTGTGATTAAACTAGTTTTTGGAACTGGTCTCTTGGGCCGCTGAGCTCCGCTCATGTCCAGAGCACAGTGTCGCCTCTATTGCACTATCTGAGGCTGACGCGAACAAAAAAAAAATCTTTTTCGTTGAGCGATCTGCCTTGCGCAGGTCCTTGAGGAAGAAGATCGGAATTGGGCTTCGGGATCTGACTTGAAGATGAGGAGGACTTGGTGTTGAGGTCGCGCTGCGATGAGCCGGCTGCTGCAGACACTTCCGCGTCGTCGCTCCCCATCGCGCTTACTCGCCTTGCGCCTTGCTTGTGGGGCTTGCGCAGCCGCAACCGTCGCGCTCTGCGTCTCGTCAACTGCGGCGATGTTGTTGAGATCCTTGTGGAGCGCGCGCCCGGCCGCGCGTTTGCTGTTTGCCGCCACGACGCCGCGTCCGCCCTATCGCCGCATCGTAGAAGCTCGCCTCCACGACAGCGGCATCGATCGGCACTTCGAGATGCGCTCTGTTGTCTCTGGCCTGCGCCGGGGAGGTGTCCCGCCCTCAGCGCGACTCCGCAGGCTGGGGCGGGCTGGTCGCGCGAGTGCTTCGGCCGCAGTTGAACGCGACACAACACTACAGGCTGCAGCGGCGCAAAAGCTATGCAGAGGCACACGTCCAAGGCAATATCGGCAGGGCCGTGTTCAGCGTCTCGGGTTCCGGGGCTGACTGCTCGGCGGGCGTGGGCATGTCTGGCCACCAACAGCGCAGGCGCTCCCGGTTTTCGCGGCCATGGCAAGCAGCTCAGTAGCCCAGACTTCGACAGCTGGGTTGCCAGTGGAAGCGCACTACTTTCGGAGCACGATGGCCGCGCTATCCGCATCGCGGTGCGCCAGCCTTGGTGTTGACATTGTCCAGCCGCGCAGGACTGTCGCGATAGGCAGGCGTGCCCGCCCGTCACTTCTGCCCTGACCCGCAAACCTGCGTCAATTTCTACATCAGACGCCTTAATGGACGCGGCGGCATCCTTCGACACTGCAACTCGCTCGCTCAAGCCCGCCAGAATTGCTTCAGCTCAAAGCACGTCTCGGTGGCTCCGATCGAACTGCAACAGCGGCGCACGACATGCACAACTGGCAAGGCCCCAGATAGCACCATATGAAACTTCTTACCTTTCATAGATGCGCCCAAGACAAAACTTCGCATGCATTCCCCTCCGCTGCGCTCGCACCGTCCGCTCACGCTGTCCGCCCCTAACCGATGATGCCTCGTCAAGCTCCTGCTCCCGCTTCCACTCCATCCACGCGCATATACTAGCACGGAACAACATAATGGTTGGAAGCGATGGTTCGCTTGACTGGGCGGTAGTTGGGAGAGCTGGGCGCCAGTGACCACGGTGTTTGGGCTCTTACATCAACGCTTCCATAAACCTCCAGAATTTTGCTGCAACAAAGGACCTGAATGCTCACACCAGCATAGGCAAGCGTTCTTGTACTGACCCCCGCATGCCCGTCTCTCGATCCCGCGATCAGCCGCTCCACCAACACCCTTGAGCGAGATGGCCCGCCGCACCGACGCCCACACACATCCGCAGCCCGAGCCGCTGGTTACATGCCCGGCTGCCTCGGCCCAGTTGGCACTCATACCCCTCAGGAGCTCGAGCATCACGGTGTATGAAAGAAGCCTTGTTGGTGCAAGCAGGCTGACTGCCGCTGTCGTTGGAGGATGGAGCCCGCAGCTCTCGCGAAGTGCTGGGCAGCCGAACTGCGCGAGGTTGTCGCAGGCACTTCAGACCGGGAGAAGCTTTGGTGCGCCCAGTACGTGGGGTGTGTCACACGTCAATGGTCGGATGAAGCTCCGGGTGCAATGATTTCAGGATTGCCGCATTTACGGTCTGGGAGGAGAGCTCAGTCTTCCTTGTTGTCCTCCGCTGGCCACAGAAGACTCATCAGCCTCAGAATATATGCGCTGCTGCCTACTTGCCTTGAATTACGCTGCCGCCTGTTATGCCCTCGTTCAGTCATCGTCAAGTATGCGGCCCACCTCCCCCAGCGAGTGAGGGGCAGTGGGACGGCTGTCCCGCTGGCTCTTCGTTGTCTCTTCTTCTCTGATACTGGACGACGCCAAGGACTGGATGAATGGCGGGCTAGCATTTTCCGCCGTCGTGTTCGACAATCCCTGTTTCTTTCTGTTCCTACGAAACAAAACTGTCATAGTGGAAGCCACAGAGCAATGGGACTAAAGGTAAGTGATGCAACGGTTCTGTGTAGGATATATTGGAGCCCGAAGCGCTAATTTGTGGATACACTTTCCCCAGAACAAGTATAAGACGCCACTCTACACGGGATATTGTGGCTCCCGGTTGGTCCGTACCACTTGTCGAATTTTAATCCGACAAGCATACATGACGACGATCAAGGCAATCGCAATACCCGTAGTCCCGCAGGCCTTCCAAAATCATAACTCGGTCCGAGGTGTGTTCACTATTCCATCAAGGTTCATGCCACCAAAGTAGGAGGTGAAGAAGAACAGCGGATGGAATACTATGGTCACTGCAGTGAAAACAAAGACAGCCTTGTTTTGGCCGTCTGCAGCAATCGAATTACGCATGCGCATCAGATATCATGACTGAGGAATATTTGGGTCATGGTAAGACTCATAGCATTCAATGATTACTGTTGCACAGCCTGAACACGGAATTACCTCACTATTACCGCAATGCATCCGAATTGCTGGCGTCCGATAATATGCATCTGTGTCGTCCCAACAAATCTTATTTCGTCAGCATCCATATGCTGCATTCAACACAATTTGCCGCTCTTGACTGGACGCTGCTGCTCCTAAGCCATCCCTTCCTCATAGCCTATCATTTGAAAGAAGTTCCACTCAGGAGCATTGGTCCCACACCATCCTCTCCTCCGAGCCCTTGAGTAGCATATACCGGGCTGCGCCCAGCCTCAAGCCCCTCGTGGAATCAATGATCTGGATTAACGGGAGACCGCTACACTACCACGTATCCGGCCCGGATTGGAGTGACTCAAGCTGGGTGGACAGCCATCACGCAGGGCTTGCTGAACTACACGTGCGAGAGCCGGACACGAGCGTCTAGAAGACCGCCCGAATACGCATTTGATTCTTAGCCGCTGCCGCTACAAGCAGCCATCAACCCTGCCCCCGCAGGCACCAGCAATATCATCACAATCGCTCTACAGCCTCTCGCCCTCACAGATTTCTACATTTGCCAAACGCGAACCAGTCAGTGTGTCTAAGCTGAAAGTAGGTCAAGCACCACGCGAGCTGTTATTATCGAACGATTCGCACGCACGGGACTCATTGCTTAGAATATCGTTTTGCCTCGTTGTCATGTAAGTATGTTCTTTTCTTTACTTATCACCCTTCTCAACAGCTTCTTTTCATACATAGAAGTTAGTCAAATAATCATTCGATTTACTTCGCAACGCAAGCCTGCAGAAGCTGTAAATTGCCTCGTTCTATGTCAGGGAACGTCATCCATGCAAGCTTTTAAATATCCCACGGGCGCAAGTGGAATAAAAAAAAAGCACAACCATGTCCTGTTGATAACTATGTGTGGTTGGACTTCCTAAATCATTGAACCATGGTTCCTCTTCTCAGTCATCCTCAGCCGCCGTCCCAAACCCAAGCGCCTCATTCGCCATCTTCCTCATCTTCCTCTGCCCCTCAGTCAACCCCGGAGCATCAACATCATACGGCTCCAGCCCCATCGCCTGCAATCCCTCACTACTCAAAATATTGTCCCTCCGCGCCCCATGATCCTCATGCTGCCCCTCATGCTCCTTTACAATCTCATACAACGCAAAATCCGGCGGCACCGCCGCCTTCTTAAACGCCTCCCTCACCCTCAGCAACGACTGCAAATTATACGGCGTCAGCGGATTACACGCATTATACACCACACTGCTATCCCGCGTCCCGGGATGAAACCGATCCACCTCATGCACCAAATCGCAATGCCAAAACACATAATCCCCCGGCCTGACCGGCGGAATCCCCACAATCGACTTCTCCATCTGCAACGCGGCATGCCACTCCTTACTCGGAAAGAACTGCGTATTCCCGGGCTCCGAGCCAGGAAACGTCGCCTCGCCATCGCTCCACCCGCCCTCATCATCAAACAGCGGCCGCAGCATGATATACGCCACGCTCGCCTTCAGACTCGGCAACAGCCTCAACGTCCCCTCCCCTGTCCCCGTCTCCGACAGGCTCAGCCACCCCTGCATGCACCGCCAACAGCTGCACGCCGCGTTGACGCCGTACAAGTCGCTCCTTGCCTCCAGCCGCGCATCCGCCTTCCACCCATCCCAGCCTTCCCACTCGCCCTGGAAAATCTTTGCGAAGTTCTCCCTGTTCGCGGCACACTCCCACCGCTCAATCCCCCCTGAGTCCAGGTGCGCCGGCAGCGTGTACTCCGCGTCCGTGCTCGGATACCGTATCCGAAAACGATCCGGGTACACGACCTGCGCGTCCATGTCGATCGGCAAGGCGCCGTCGTCGACGTGCCAGAGCTGCGAGACGCAGCGCATCGCGGCGAGCACCCGCGGGTGCGAGCGGATCTGCACTTGTGGCGGCGTCCACCAGAGGGACCAGTTCTGCGGGTTGTCGACGGGGAAGCCGCCGACGCTGCGGTGGCGGGCGGTGTAGGACTTTAGCGAGGCTTCCCAGGCGCTGGCTTGGGCGGTGGGGACGACGTTGCGGAGGATGACGCAGCCGCGGTCGCGGACGAGGGTGGCGAAGGCGGGGGGGAGGGTGCCGTCTGTGAGCAGGTGGAGGGGTCAGTCAGTGGGGCTGGTGTGGATGCGCGGAAGGCGGGGTGGAATGGGGAGGTGTGGGGAGGACAAGGGAGGGGCAGGACAAGGGAGGGGAGAGGAGGGGTGCAGGCGGACCGTTTTGCATGACGTCGTTGAAGTCGATTTCAGGGACCATGGCCGGGCCGTTCTTGGAGATGAGGTCGACTTCGGCGGCGAGGGCACGCTGGAGGCGGGCGTAGGACTCGATGACTTTTTGCTTGTGCTCGGGTTTGACGAGGGATTGCTTGAGCACGGCGAAACGCTGGTCGAGGACCGGGGGTCTGCATGGATTGCTGTTAGAGAGAAGTTGGTGTTTGGAAGGTGGTCACTTACTTGGGCTTGAGCACCTGCGTCTGAGTTACTGTAGCGGTAGACATGTTGCAATCGGAGTGTCGAAGTTCGGGGTTGTCCATCCATGCCCGACCCCGCGCACCTTTTTATCCTTATCGAATTGTCCAGGAACGAAGGCGGGGTTGGATTCGGAGTTATCTTTTCTGTGCGGAGTTACTTGTTCTGGCGTCGCCTGCAGGCGGAGGCCCAAGAATGGGGGTTGACCGGGGTCGAGGTTCCCCGCTTGCTACTCCCCCATGTCGATATATCGGATAACGTGCGGACCGCCCGACAAACTCTGGACGAGCATATAATGCCAGCTGTGAGAAGATGAAGTCGTTTCGAGATCAGTTAGATTTCACAAGTGACAGTGATCCCAGAGATCGTGGAGCGGCCACTCACCACATCCGCCCAAAATGAAGCAACACTTCAAAGACATGGACCTGGTCAAAGAGATGACGCTCCCACTCTTCGCCGTGAGCGCCTACTCATCGGTACGTCCGCCCTCCACAGCATCATCATCTCGCCCTCAGCTGACCCGTCCCTCCCACCACAGCTCTTCGGCGCCTCCTTCGGCATCGACCACAACTACTGGAACGGCGTCCTCGGCATGGCCCAATTCAAACGCGACTTCGGCGTCTGGGACCCCACCACCTCGACCTACATCATCCCCTCGACCTGGATCAGCGCCGGCTCAGGCCTCCCCAGCGCCGGTCTCGCCATCGGCGCATTGCTCTCCGGCCTCTTCGGCAACCGCCTCGGCCGCGTGCGCACGTTCCTCGTCGCAGCGACCACGTCCATCGTCGGCATCGTCGTCCAGGCCGCCAGCCTGCCCGGCCACTACTGGCAGCTGATGGCAGGCCGCATCGTGACGACCGTCGCGCTCGGCGTTGTTTGTAATGCGGTGCCGGCGTACCAGGCCGAGTGCGCGCCCGCGGCCATACGCGGCGCGCTGGTCAACGCGTATCAGTGCTGGCTGCTCGTCGGCGCGCTGATGGCGAACACGGCGAACTGGGGGACGTATGCGTGGGAGACGCAGTGGGCGTACCGGCTGATCATCGTGCTGCAGTTGGTGGTGCCGGTGGTGTTGCTGGTCGGCGGCGCGTGGTTGCCTGAGAGCCCGAGGTGGCTGGTCGGCAAGGAGAGGGAGGAGGAGGCGCTGGAGGTGCTGTTGCTGCTGCGGCGCGGAACGGCGCGCGAGGTCGTTGAGGAGGAGGTGCGTGTCCTTGCGGCCGCTGAGAAGGAGCAAAGGCGGCATCTGCAGGCCGCGTCGTGGGCGGACTGCTTTCGGTACGTCACATCCACACCTCGTTTCGCTCCCCGAGACTGACCGAACGCCGCAGCGGCCCCAACCTCCGCCGCACCCTCATCGTCGCGGGCGTCCAGTGCTTCCAGGCCGGCCAGGGCAACAGCTTCATCACCAACTACGGCGTCGTCTTCCTGCAGGCCATCGGCGTGCAGAACACGTACCAGACGCAGGTCCTGCTCATCTTCACGACCACCATCTCGTCCGTCTTCCCCTTCTACTTCGCCGACCGCATCGGCCGCCGCCTGCCGCTCATCGTCGGCGCTGTCGTCATGGGCGTCTGCATGTATGTCGTCGCCGGCGTGACGGGCTACGCGCCGGCGGATGACGGCGCCGCGCTGAAGGCCGCGACGGCGGCGCTGTTTGTGTGGCAGTTTTTCTTGTCGAGTTGCTGGTCGTCGTGGTATGTTCGGCCGCTGCTCCACTGCCCTTCTGCCCCGCTCCCCCAGCCTCTCTTCCCCCGCCATCCCGGCTGACCACTTCTTAGTGTATGGATCGTCACCGCCGAAACCCCGACCCTCCATCTCCGCGAGAAGACCATTACCATCGGCACTTTCCTCGGCTTCAGCGTCGGCGTGCTGGTCACCTTCGTCAATCCGTTCCTGCAGGACGCGGACCAAGCGGGTCTGGGGGGCCGCGTGGGCTTTGTGTACGGTAGCTTCAGCTTTGCTGCGGCGGTCTGGACGTTCCTGTTCGTGCCCGAGCTAAAAGGCCGCTCGCTGGAGGAAATTGACGGGTTGTTTGAGGCCGGGGTGAAGGCGTGGGGGGCGGGGCGGCTCAGCAGCCTGGAGAGGGGTTGTGGAACGGACATTCCGGTATTGAAGGGGGTGGAGGTGGGGGATGGGAGAGGGGAGAGGAGCGGTGATGAGGGGAGGGAGAGCGCGACAAAGGGGCTGGATAGCGCCTGAGCCGTAGACTGAGGACGTCTTCATGGCCTGACTATCAGTCGGGCTCCACAAGTCCCCACACTTTGCATTTTCTGCCTCATCGCTTGTATGTATCCTACCGTTGATGCCTCAAAAGATCTCCTCAATAACCTAGTCTTACCTCTTGAGCGGTAGGATGATTTATTCAAAGCACTAACGCGCCAGTCTAGTCAGTATGATCTTCGAGAAGCCTATGTTAGAAACGTATCCAGACCTAGCCGACTGGCGTACGGCCTTGGCTTTGGATAGTCTTCGCTGCAGCAAATTGGTGGTGCCATCGATGAAACGTAACACTGAGTAATTAGTCTATAGAGTTTCCTTTCCTTATTTTGTAGAAAGCATGAGCCCGAGATTTATTGGATTTGTATACCTTTTGCCTCTGAACTGCTGTGTTCTGCTTGGTTGGGAGGCGAGTCTTCCCTTACAATCCACGCCATTAGTCTTGCCGTAGCTGCGACAGGATATTCTAGTGAAAGATTTATAGTGAAAACATGAAACCATGTATGGAAAACTAATTATGTATCGAGAACCTCATCAGAAAATAGTGACCTCACGTATTGGCCACGAAGTTAAAGATACATGATACGCGTTAAAGACCCCTACGCGAACAAACTGTACGCCAGATTCCAATCTAATGGGATATAAGATAAGCCCACTGTCTCTTGCAAATTCATCATAAGAAGGTAGTGTGGTGACAGAAGTGATAAAAAGATGAAGCTGGCCTTTGAGATCTCCATCGTACCCTAGGTGAGGATCCCAGTCCAAGAAATATTTGATACGACCACCTAACTCTATGAGCTCCCAGTACCTTTCATTATATTCACCCTTTCTTGGCTCCGGAGCGAAAGCCCCATTGGAAGGTCTATGCGGCAATTCAAGGATCTTTCCTCGAACAGTGATTGATGATCCCGGCTTAATTTTGACCATGGTATCCGATTTTGCAGGTATCAGATTGTGGCGTACCAACTCAAAGTCTTCCTCTGCGGGAACTACAAGCCATGTAACTTCTTGATCCCTTGAAGCCCAGCTCCAAGAGGGAGCACAGTAGTTTTCGTCGTTTTGCAGCGATTCCAACATTTTCCCAAATGAGGGATGATTGTCGACAAGGAACCACTTGACGTTCTCATGAAATTTATCATCCAACCAGAGCCCGGCAAGATAGGTTGGTGCTTCGTGTTCTCTCTCAATAAGCTTCTGCAATGATTTTGCAAAACCAGATATAGCGGCAAGCTTATCACAAGCGTAGGTAAACTTCCGACCGGAGTATTCGCCTATCCACATCCTCCACCTCTTAAGCTTTGAGGCTTGAAATGTTGAAGAATACATGGGTTTGTCGTGAGAATGTCCCTCGTCCGTCACGACACGTCGATGGCATCTGAAGTGAAGCATTCTAGCACCGAAGGTGAGAATTCGTTGTGCCATATGCTGCTCCTGCCACACCCACCCCCTTGTATTCCAGATGGATTTGTATGAGTCGGGTTCCCAACCATCCAGGTGATTTCTCAGCGACAGAGAAATTGAATAGACACCCGAGACGTCAGGATTCAGTGATGATCGAAAATTCAAGTCTATTAGGTCGACTTCCGGTCGTTGAAGAAAGGTTTCGTCACAAGCCGAGCTCGTTGCTGCGCCGAATGTAATGAAAGAGTGACGGAAGATATCACTCATTCTTCCTGATCCCTCTTCCCAGTCTGATGCATCGTCCTGAATGATACAAAGCGCATCGATCCAGAGGTATCGGAGTCCCAGCTCTCGAGCGACGAGTATGGCGTCACGGAACACCGGTGGTAATTCTTCGACTGGTATGCTCTGTTTATGCTTTGCTAGTGTTTGGGAAGTAGTCCTCAGTGGAAGGGAGCCAGAACCCCAGCAATAGCTCAAACAAGCATATCTGATGTTATTCTCCGCGAGGGTTGGCTTAGGCGGCGATTCGATAGTGTCGATAAGAATTGGAGGTTCCATTTCACCACCGCTTAATCCAAGGTCGAGTAAGCGCTTGGGCACGAAATGTTCGTCGTTTCGAATTTGGTTGCAGCCATCATCCATGCATTCATCCAACCAGCGCCGGACCAAGCGAATATTGCCATCGGACATAGGACTTAATAGATCCTCTCGATCTCTTTTGATCCCCAACCAATCGCGACATTGGCCTAGTCACACTCGACAGTAAATAACTATAGGTTCAGAAAAGCGAGTTGCTCACCTTTGCTTGCAGCAATTGGAAACTGAAAGCTATCTCCATACTTGGTGGTCACAAGACTTTTGTCTGGTGGGTAGGCGTTTACTATGAGATAAGATAGTGAAAGTCCCACTTCGCTCTCTCCTACTCTGAACTCCAAGTCGTCAGACCACCAATATTTGATCTTGATTGGTATTCTGGCAACGGAGGAACTCCAAAATCCGCGATTTTCGTATCGATCAAGGAAAGCCCTTTTGAGTGCAGCACAGAAGCGGCATCTATCAAGAAGTTCCGGTAATTCTGGGTTTGTAACGGTTCGTCTGGAAACACTAAAGCGTTCAAAATACCACAAATCCTTCTTTGGGATAACGAGCCTGCCGATCGCGCCGTCTGAAGACGCCCTCCATGTAGCACCGCTAACCCTATCATCGAGGGTTAAATCGCAAGAGCACTGCTCGCAGAGATACTCGGAGCTTCCCGTGGTTGGAGTTCGTGAGTCGGTGGTCATTTTGTCGAAGGGACTGAGGCAGTCGGGAATTCCTCGCGTTGTCCTATCGGGATTCAAGTGAATCGACGTCGAGTTCGTCCAACATCTGGATGGGAGAGGGAATATTTGAATTCAATACTGGAGTTTTCAGCTGAACGGACAGTGCAAGAGGGTGGACTATGGAGGCTGTGAGAAAAATTCGAGGATTTAACGTGATTCTGTCATCTCACGGGCATCTTGTGAGTTGGCACAAGTGTGGGGTAGCAACGCCATTTCCAGCATGATTTTCTGTTCGTACGACCCTAAGGAACGAATGATTGGATAGAGGCTCTGGGCGGCCTCCTGGTGTCGTATCGGACCAGTATTTCCAGCCCTAATATAGCCCCACTCCATGTAAAGACTTCACACCGCCTCCCTGCCAGCCAATCCTAAACAATTCCACCATCGCATAAATCCCTGCATCCATGTCTCATTAATCCACAATAGCTTAGCCTCCGGGACCCGCCCTCACCGCCACCGCCGGCCAGCTCAGATAGCTCCGGATGGAAATGGATTGAATGATAGGCAAAGATGGGGTAGATGGTAAATGAGACGCTCGGCTTTGAAGGAGCCTTTAGAAGGTCTTTCTTTATATCTTACATAATTGATTATAAATATAAGCATACACACCTTCCAATGCACCAAAATTTCGGCAAATCTTAGCATTCTGCATGTGAATAGAGTGGAAATTAACCCAATAAAGATCGAACAATGAGTGAAACATTTCTTACAAACCGCAATGTAGAACGGAAAGATAGTAAAAACACTAATTACAGGCCCAACTCGCGCCAGATACACTCGTCAAATGGTCCTGAGAACAGAAACGCCCTTCACATTCCCCTTTCTCCGCTCGATCAAGCTGATTACAAGTTACAACGCCAGCATGCCAATCCCCTCTCCAAAGATATCTTCGAGCTCCATTGATTCATGAGTGGTCAGCTTGCCCTCCCGAACCATCCCTTCGCGCTCCAAAAGGCCCAAAAGCTCTTGAGGTATACGGTCTCTCCGGTCCATAGTCAAATCTCTGATAACCCTTGCAATTAAAAGCGGGATGGCATCGTCATGAACAAGGTCGTTCAAAATCTTCTTTTTGTCAGCTCTGAACCGCCCTGACACACCGAAGTCAGGGTATAGCCGGTAGTATCCCGTATACCTACGACCCAACTTATAGAGCTCCCCATTTACAAGGTCCTCACAAGTTTGCGTTATTTCCTTCAGTTCCGGAATGTAATCAAAAAATTCCCTGGTTAGGCCGGTTTGAAGGTTTGCTTCTGTATAGTACTCCAGACACGTATGTACTTGTTGATAATGGTTGACAATGGCGCGCACCATGTCCGCATCCACCCAGCCTGACAGCTCACTTGAAGCTACATCGTCATCCATAGAACTTGCACGTTGTATGCCAGCAAGGCTGCTGTACTCAGTAAGATCTCCAAATGGCAGAAGAAGGCTCATAGAGGCCCTGACTCCGTCCAAATAGTCGCGGAAGCGGCCTCGAAAGCCTTGGCGTAAGTCTTCGAGCATCTTCATGCAATCCTCCAGAATTTGGTGAAGAATACGGTCTTCTGTCTGCATCTCTCTGATCTCATCCATCGGGGGTATCTCATACTCCTGTCGCACTGTTGTCCAAGACCAGTAGGGGTCGGCTGGCTCGCGACAGCACGTATGACCCATACCCAGCCTCTCGAAAATTTCGAATCTCACATGAGCCATGTGGCATTCCTCCCTCGATCCAGGGGGGAGCATCCTGGCAAACATGTCGATGATCCTTCGCTGAGGCAGATAGCCTAGCGTACGCCTGTGAACCAAGAGAGAAGCCGGTGTGCAGCCAGAAGCCGAGCAGAAGCACGTGCATCCGTCATGGTCTCCTGGTGGAAACAGCTTCATCATCCATCTCGGTGGGACAATGGTGCGACTGTTTGTGTCTGGAAGGGACTTTATGCTCATCCATAAGGCGTCTGGAGGAGGCTGAACTCCTTTTGAGAGGAAAAACGTACACGTGTCGAACAGGCACCGGGAAAAGGCGAAATCGATTGGAGTGTTGCCTTCCGAGTCCGTCACAGATATGTCCCTGAATCCGGCTTCCCAACAGCATTCAGCCATTGTTTTCACGTCACGATCATCGGTGCCAAGTTTGGTTAGTGTGTGAAATACAGTCACAGCTGTTCCGGGCCCGAGAAATGCGGGCGGGTGGTGATTTCCAGTTTCTAATGCAGTCCAGATCTCAAGTGCGTGTTGATCAAGAAGGACTCCTCGGCTGGTGATGTTTTGCAAATGATGCCTTTCCCAACATTCCGGCAAAACGCTTAATCCATGTTCGGATAGTAGTCGTCGTGTGCGAGCGACATGGGGCAGAACGATACGGAAGGTGGAATCAAAGTACGCATGTGGAGCCAGCAACGATGTTTCGTGCTCCTTCCATATCCACAATGGGTTCCAAAATGGGGCCATAAAGAACGCAGGACAGTCGTAAGCCACGAGAAGTGACAGTGCCGAGCTAAGCCTAGCTTCAACCGCCATGATCAAAGCAGGACGGCTGTCCACGCCCCAGTCCAAGAGGTATTCAAGGCCGTCAATCCAGAAGAGTGAGCAGGATAGTGGGGATGAGAATCGCTTGTCATAGTCGTTCCAATTATGCCCCTTGATTGTCAGCTTAGAAAGCTCGACGATAGACTTGCGAAATATCGGTAAATAATAACTCGGGAACCCTAGGTCTAAGTCTCGTTAGAAACATTGGCGAGTAGTGGATTGGAAGGCAATACCAATAGCAAACTCTGGATCATGGAAGCACAACAGAATAGTCTTATAGCCACCAATCTGCGGGGGCATGTAATTGGTTATGTCAGACCCGTGCTTCTTTAGAGCAGCCTCGAGCAGTAGACTCTCAGACAGACGACCACGCTGGCTAGAACCAAACGAGTCCCTGCACTGAATGGCCAGATCCATCGGTGTGCCGTAAAACCTATTATCAGAGAGCCAATAGGAAGGGTCTGACATGAAAGATTTCGGGTCCGCTCCGTAGTGGATAAGCAGCGCTATCACTGACTCGACTGCATCAGATGCAGTCGTAAGATCATGACAGCTGAAGTGAGCTTCGGATGTTACGAACGCAATAAATCTCTGTTGCAAAGATTAGCCGCAGGCCATTACGACATGTAAGCGTAGAACTGACGTGCAAAAGAGTCATTCCACCCTGATCCTGGTCATTTGCAAACCCCTCGAGATTGGCGAACCGAGTTCTGAGCCCCGTTATCAATTTATCGCAAATTATCCTGAGAGAACCCACGGCGTCATAATTCTTTGTGAATTCACCATTGAAGTTTCTGACAGTGGCTTCCACGAACATGAACGTGCTCGACTGAGAGACGTCCACAACCCTTCCAGGTAATTTTACCTGGGGAGCTAAGGCGAGACCTCGAGCTCCAAATGAAGTGATGAACTGCAAGTGGCCGAAGGGTATCCGTAGCCCAAGCAGTATCTTGCGGTTGGAAGTGTGGTGGAGCGGACACCGTTGTTCATGAACATGCCTTCCGTCATTTCGGAAGTAAATGGGCCCCAATGAGAGGTACAACGAGGCGCTTCGCTTGCAGGTACAGTTCATTACTGGAACCAGCTGTTGGGACGCGGTGTTCATTAGTCGTGATTCGCATCTGTCGATTGGCTGACTCAGTGTCCGGATTTCGTTCTGCAACACAGCCACAATCGTATGTTCGGACTTTTGCACTGCGGCGCTGATGGAAACTGCTGTGCTACTTGTAGAGGCGCGAAGGACGCCCTCCATAGACTCGAGACGATCCTGCAGGGCTTGAATGCTTCTGCTGATGGCACCGTTTGAGCAACTAGAATGATAATTAGAGTACATCCATTACAGGGAAATGCACCGTGTCTTACATTTGGCCTGCGGAGATGAGATAGGTCTGCCGGTTGAACCAAAGCTGAATCGAGGCTCTCAAGTTTCCCATTCTCTCGAGCCGCTCCGTGATCTCTCCTTGTAGCTTCCGCGCTCGTACCGCTTTCCATGATCTCTCTATCCGTCCGGCCTGAGGCGAGGCTGTGGCAACGTCGAGAAATGCCTCAACTTGCTTCGTTACCTCGGCTGCTTCCTGCATGTACCGTTGAAGCTCACCGAGATCGGAATGCGACATCAGCGATGGTGGTATCCACCCTGTTCCGTTGCTCAAGCGGTCTAGGTCGTTCTTGATGGTGTTGACCAGTTGAACCATGCCCTGCAGTTCCTCGTGGTAGGCTGCGATCCGTTTCGGAGCATTTTTGAGGGAGGACAGCAGGTTCGCGACTTTTATTCCGGCATCGATGAAGGTTATGGCGCCAGATAGGATGCCGATCACTTCAGTCATGCTGGGAGAGAAACGCGGAGGAAGAAGGTGGGTGGAGCACCGAGTCGCGCTCTGAGACGGGCACACATCCGCACTTATGTCCAGTTGGCCCATGTTCGCAACGGTGGAATATGCATGTCAGCGTAAGCAGAACACTCAAGGATTGGACGAACGCTTAGGCGGCAGAGATGTGGCGCGGGGCTATGCATCCTGCACGACAAGGCTGAGGCTTGGCCAATTAACACCAGCCATCATCAGGCGACAGCACTGCATGTTCCTGATATTCCAGCCTACTATCGCTGTGTCGCATTCTCTGTGGTCGTCTAGCTGGAACTATGACTGAAGTGCAAGATGGAGAGGCAGCAAAGGGTAATGCTAATCCGACGACAGGAGTGGACTCGAGGGGATGTTGTGGTAGCATCTCTGATGTAATGAGAAGCATGGCCAATGGCGCACGACTCTTGGGAGGAAAGGGTGCATTATAGGATGAGAGGAATTTGACGTAAGGTTCTGTCATCTTGCAATGTGCAAAACCGAGCGCCGTTGTCGCCGGGGGTTTGCGGCGTGCGGGAGTTCTGATTGGTCACTCGGTTAGCCAGACGAGGCTCGAGAACAACACCATCGGCAGGGCAGCACTTACTGTAGCATCAAGTAGCGCAGCTACTGCAGGCATGTCATGAATCTGTAGTGTCTGCGAAAGGAAAGGCCATCTGGAAACTTGTCATGCAATGAAAGAGAGGCACTATCCGCTCTCAGCAAGCATTCCCACGGCCAGTATTCCTCTTATGGTTGCTTGGTTTGCCGGAATATCAGACGATAGCTTGAGACTCGACAGAGGATGAAAGGCACCGCACAGCCATATGCGCTCGAGCCACAGCTGAGGGTCATTCAGGCGGTCGTAGTTGAGAAGACAAGAGGTGATGAGAGCGGTCGGTCGCTTGGTGCGGCCTGGGCTTTCGCTGGCGGGCGCTGGGCTCTGGATGTCGGCGAGGCGGACGGCCGCATTGTGTCTCCCGAATTGATACCTGGCAGTCTGCGCTCGAATATGTGAGTGAGGCAGGCAGACGCGACGGCGCGTAGGCCTCCCGATGAGGTCATTCTCATTAGAGCCGAGCCCGCGGTGATTGCCAAGCGCCGCGCCGCCCATAACACTGCTTTGCAAGTAGCAGGATCCCCGAGCAACCAAGTGCTCACGTGGACTTCCCAAAGGGTGTTAGCGTGAGGCGGGCGGGCGCGACATTCACTGTCAACTCTCGCCCTCTTAAAGCCTCCATCTTCAAGATCTTCTCCAGCACCTAACAACCTCATTCCTCCTGCACCTACCAACCTCGCCCCGCCTGCAGCACTTCTCCATTGGCAACAACAACAAGAACTGCTGCTTGTCTTCAGAATGAAGATCCCCCGCCTCGTCACGATGTTGCTCGCGGGCATGCTCCTGGCATGCTCGATGAGCTTTGTTCACGCGTCGGACGCGTCGCAGTCCCAGCTTGCGGCCGTCGACACGTCCCTCACCTCTATCACCAGCTCTAACGCCGAAGACAGCATCGGATACAGCAACAGTAAGTTCGCCGAGCCTGAAAAAGACGAATGGCAGTCGCTGACAGCAATAGACGGCGCTTCAGCTGAGCTTCCTTCGGCTTTCTACGATCGTGTCAACCGCCTCGCGTGCACTGTCCACTACGTTGAGCTCCGTTTCAACTCGGCGCAGGACATGGAAGAGTCCATGTACTACATTGCCGACTGGATCACGGCCATCATCAACTCTGATGAGTACGCGGGCTGTTACCGCCCCGGCTTTGAGTGAGTACCGACCTTCCGATTCCAAGCTTCACACTGACGCTCGTGCAGGGTCTTCTTCACCGCGTTCGTTAGTGATGATACCGTCCAGATCTACGGTCAGGACATGAGCGTGCCGCCCGAGCTCGCTGAGGTTTCGGCCTCCAGCGCTGCGTCTTCGGCCTCTGGTGCTGCGTCTTCCGCTCCTAGCGCTCCGCCTTCAGCTTCCAGCGTTGCACCTTCAGCTTCCAGCGCTGCGCCTTCGGAGGAGCCTGTCAAGGAAAAGCATGAGCTCCGCCGCAAGGATCTGGCCGTCTTGTACCCGCGCAACGGCACCCATGCCGGCCACTCGGTCCTGCCAAGTCACGTCTCGGCTGCGCCCAGAGGTCAGGGCGGCGTAGCGACCAGCTCGATTTGGATGAGCAGAAGCGTGTCTTCTACCAAGACGGTGTTCGTCATTCCCACGGCCAACTTGGTCCCCACAGACACCGACCTGCCCCCGACGGCCACCATCGACGTCAACCACGGGCTTGAGAACCGCCCGCTCAACTTCCCCGGCAGCCCAGACTACAACGAAAGCAACCACATGTCGGTCCTGTGCACGCACTGCTCGCTCAACGGCAAGCTGTCCATCACCCAGGGCGGCTGGCACAGCCCTTCGGCTGACGGCGGCGCCCCCAGCCTGGGCTGGCTCAACATCACCCTCACCGACTTCGCCGACGCGCTGGAAGTCCGCCTCCAAGGCCGAAGCAAGGGCATCATGAAGTTCCCGCTGTACCCAGCCAACGACGAGAACGCGCCGCTGAACATCGTCGGCATCAGCCTTCCCGGGCTGGGCAAAGCCGGGCTGATCCTGCGCCCCTACCTCGCCGTCGGCTGGGACCTCTCGTCGCCGACGACCATCAACTACTGCGCCGGCAACCTGTGGCAGGACGCGCCGTCCTACATCCACGTCGACTTCGCCAACCTGACCAACAACGCCTCGACCTTCTTCGCCCACCGCCCGCTCCGCGCCGACGACCCGCACGCCACGCCCTTCCGCGGCCGCTCCATGGACGCCCTGCACGCCTACGGCAGCATGTTCGTGCGCCTGCAGATGGACCTGACCATCGTCTTCGAAGAAGAAACCAACACCACCACCACGTCGTCGTCGTCGTCGTCGTCGCCTCCGACCACCACCGACGTCGCTGCCCAGCAGCCGGCCACCAACCCCAACCCCAACAAGGCCGTCGCCCACATCCGCCTCGGCTGGCCGGGCGTCGACGCCAACTTCATGGCCCGCCCCGTCGCCGAGTTCGACATGACGTGCTACAACGTGTCCGCCACCACGCGCGCCAACTATTCCCTCTTCCACGACGACGACGACCACCGCATCGCATCCAACTTCACCGCCGCGCACCCAACCTTCGTGCGCATCCGCAAGCGCGACGCCAGCGTCGCCACCGCCGCCTTCAGCGGCGGCTCCGTCTTCCCCTGGATCGTCGACCCCGACCACCTGCGCCAGCTGCAGCACGGCTGGGTCCAGGGCCACGAAGACAAGTGGGAGGACGCGTGCTACGTCTGGCTCGAGCGCGAGCAGCGGTTCGAGGAGGCGGGTTACGTGCTCAGGAAGATTAAGGAGGGGTTGGAGAGGGATGATGATGCTGCGGTTGGGAAGGCGGCGGCGAACAGGGGCGGGCCGGAGGAGAACGGTGGGGAGGAGGAGGGTTTGGAGAGCGGCGGTGCGATGAAGCGAGTCGTCATGCCGACTTTTTTTGTGGGCCTTGTGATGGTTGTCGCGGCTCTGGTCTGCTTCTAGGGAGGTGGGCTGGTTGCTTTCTTCTTCTTTCTCTTTTCTCTCCGGTTTTCTTGGTGGTTTGGGCCTGTAAGGGCGTGGTCACTGAGAATGGTAGAGTAGTCCTGGAGTAGACTACTAGCATCTTCAAATTCATTTCCCTTATTCGAGGCTGACATGACCTGCGCATTCGTGATCTTCCGTCGTGAAAGGTGTTTCGAGTACCTCCTCGGCGATTAGGCAGAGAAGGATCGAGAGAAGCTGTCGGTGTGGCGAACTACAACACCATGGTGGCCTTACGCTCGGACTGAGATGTCTCGAGAATCTGAGATCTAGTCTCCAGTCGCATCATGCTCCATGCAATCATTTTAGTGACCATTTTAAACTGCCTCGAAGCAACGCTCTGTCCCCGTTACTACATATTTATGCGGCATGTCACCTCTTTTGTCCATTCCATCGACGTGAACCCTGGTGTTGAATGCTTGGTACACCTGAGAACTAAATAGAAGAAAGAGAATTTAGGTATAGAATAAGAAAATCATTTCAGCGCAGTGTAAACTCCCCAAAGTTCTCGATGTCCTTGAAAGAAAACCTGTGTTCATCGAAGTCATCAAGGTAGCAATCCCCAATTAGAGAATAAACGAACTCCCCGGCGGGCCTTAAAACGAATGGATGCACCCCTCCCTGGAGGTACACGATGGAGTCTCCAGGTTTCGCTAGTGGAGGAGCCAGCCCCATTGAGCCCTTTTCGGTGATGAAGAAGCTTCTTCCATAGCAAGCCCACTTTATAGCCGTCGTATACCTCTCGATGTCAGAATCTTCCTGGGTTTCTTGATACGCCGCTCCCGCCCACTCAACAATCACTTCCAGCTCGTGGAAGTATTCGCTATCAAACCACCTTAGCACCCCAGCACCGAAGGAATTATACCAAGCAACCCAGCGTGGAGGGGGTGGATAGCGGGAGTAGTGTTCCTCCGGATGGAAAAGTGGACCGAAGCCGTGTTGCGCCCTTAAAGTCCGATGAAAGGCTGCAAAAATGGATCGAGATGATCTGTGATGCTGCAGCTCTACAGCCAATGACTCCCACTTGCGCACAGTCTCTGAAAACAGGGTGCTGCCGGGGTAGTTTGCTTTGTCTGCCAGTAGCTCTTCTGCAACACTCTTGATTGTGTCGAGCTTGCAACCTCCCAAAGTCATTTCGAATCCACTGAACCGAAGGCAAGGCGATACGTTGACCAGGGCGTAAGAAGCGTCGGTAGGATATCTGTGGGGAGGCTGAAGAAAATGTCAACGGGTCTCAGTATGCTGAAGGCACTCGGGAAGGAATTGGCTGCAATCATCTACGGGACCCAAGCAAATGCAAAATCCTCGGCTTTGTCCCTGCTGAATGAAAGCTTGCGGGAAAATCCAGTACCACGTTTCCATCGAGAGGTTGTAATCAACAGTGATTAGAGGACGTTTCAGCAATCCAATCAGGGCGTACACCTTGTCCTTTGGGTCAGTGCTCTCGCAAATGCGGCTGTGCTGAACTGCTTCCTCTGTCACTGCGGCTCCCATCAGGCCCAGGCTTTTTAGATTGGTAGGAGCGTCTATCCCTAGAAGCACATTTATTACGCTTGCTGCAGAGAATCATTTTTGATGGAATAGTAATGGCAATTCTTAAGCATCTTGACCACAGATGATAATGGCTTTCTCGCCTAATGCCTTCTCTTGTATGATTCAGAAAAGACAGAACTACAGCCGGCGTCAGAAGGTCACGAATGCCCTTTCAGTTTGTTCGTCGTAGCTTGGGAAGATATTGTCCTGGATTGATGAATCAACTCTATTCATTTTATAGTGTTACTTCCACTTGAATAACTGCTCATGAAGGAAACGTGAGTCGTATGCTTCCTCTCCAATCTTAATTAGCGCCCTCTTCGCCGAGTACTATAGGTGCCTCGTCAAGTGCACTTGTTTGTTCCTCTCTCCTTGATTCTGGCTGAATTGATACACACTGCATCAATCCATAGAGACCTTGGTTTGTTGGACAAATGCAGTTGGGCTTGCGAATTCTTGTTTTTGCGGCGATGTGTGGCAAATCAGACTGCTCCGTGGCTTATATAGAGACGCCGCCGTAAGCCCGATCTCACGTCAGCTCTTGTGGAGTCCCTCAATGTTTGGGGAACTCTGAACAAATGCCCCAACTTTTTTTCGGAGCTTCGGCCCTCCGCATCCTCCAGGTATTAATAAGCCGCCACGGTGAGACATATATAATTGCAAAAAGCCTAGAAGCAAATGAACCATATCCCTGCACGCATCCAAAACCTACCCAAGCAACAACCCCCCACCACCATCCCCGCCATGGCCACTCCCATCCCCATCATCGTCTGCGGCGCCACACAGGCCGTAGCCGTGCAAGTAAAATCCAACATGCTCCCCGAATTCGACGGTTCGTCCTCCTCCCCTGATCCTCCTTACCAACCAACCAACCAACACTCACCCAGTCGTCTACGCCGGCTTCGACCTCCCCGCCACCCTGACCGAAGTCCCCCAAATCCTCTCCAACCGCACCTCCCCTCCCCCGTCCAGCACCCTCCACACGCAACTCGGCTCCAACGACTTCACGACCAACGGCTTCCCGCGCGCCGTCGTCGCCGGCGGCGGCTACACCGACGAGGCGTTCAACAAGCTCTTCCAGGCGTGCGTGCAGGCGTGCGGCGGCGGCGGGTCCGACGAGGACGCGAAGCTGCTGCCCGTGCCGTTTTTCAGGGTCGATAACGGTATTACGAGCAGGCTGGTGGCCGAGGGGAAGATGCCGGCGACTGGGACGCCCGAGTATCCGGCGGCGATTGCGGGGAGGTTGAAGGAGAGGTTGAGGGAGGTGGGGGTGGTGGAGGGGGAGGGGGAGCGGAGGAATGGGGGGAGCGTGTTTATGTTTTGAGTGGGGGGAGGAATTCGGGGGATGGCAGACTTTTTTTTTTGAGTCAGTCGAAGTTTAATCCAGGTAAGAATGGTGCGGCGAGGCAGACATGGTGAAGGGTTCTTACCAGTGCTGCTTAGTGATATTTATGCAGCGATTCGAGAAATATCAGGACTGTAAATGCTACATGGCAGTTTTCGCTTTTCCAACCGTTGAACTACAGATGGGTATTGCAGCCTGCAGCTAGGCGAAGAAAATAGGATGGCTGCAGAACATGGGGTAACTATGCCACAGCCTTTTCTTTTATGAAAATGACATATCTTGGCAGTTGAAGTTAGCCAGTGTCACGGCCCTGCCACACGTGTGGCTGGTGGTAGTGGCTGGCAGTCGTGGCTGGTGGTAGTCGGCCTGCCCAGCCGGCTTGCATTTGTATGGCCGTGTTGGAAATCAAGCAACAGCCGCTGCGTGAGAGCCGGAGCATTTGCCGATGGCTAGTCGGACACCTGGCCAACTACAGCCTACCTTTATCGTCCGGACGTGAAGGTATAATTTAATTCGACACTTTGTATCCGGACGATAGCTTTGACTAGCTATCACAAGAGAGAACAAGATATCCAGCCGCGATGCCTCTGTGTACATACAGAATTGACTCATTGAAATGATGCTCCCTTAAGCAAGTGAAAACAAGATTCACTGGGTACCAATCTTGCAGCATTCCAGAGAACAGGTACGTGGTTGAGCCAAGGCTTCGGGGTTGCTCCGCCCCCGCATCGCATCGGCTGCGCGCCGAAGGGGGCGGATCCAACCGCCACGGGACACGGAACGATCCAACCACCTCATCCTTGTTCTGGAACCACCCCGTCACTGTGCGGACGATATAAAGCCGCCCGCCACCCACCCAAGATACCAAGACGGAGCGAAGCTCGATCGCTCCGCTCTTGCATCCGTTCCCGTGACCTTTTTCTCCGCGCTGGACTGCCGACTGACTGCGAAGCAGGCCGCTTCGGCAGCTATCCCGATGGTATCCCAGCACTCTGGCTCTGAGAGCCTCTTCTGCATGGTCGTACGGCATCTGCATTTCTCAATGGTAGAGCAGCAGCATGTCAGTTCAGAGCACAGCTTTTCGGGCAAAAAAGATGGAGAAAGTAGAGACGGGCGAAGTTGCGAGGAAAGCGGCACAATGGAAGCTGCAACTCGTCTCAAAGATCCCCTCGGCATCCCGACCGAATCGACTGGCCATGAAGCGGGATTCACCGCGGAGCTAGCAATTGAGGCTTGCCGCCGAGACATTTTCCCCCGCGTTTTACCCCAGATCAGACTCACGCGGTAGTTACTCTCGCGCGTGAACGGAACCTGCGAGGCTGTCAGTATAATAAGGCTATGGGAGATGCAAAGATGCCATGTTTCAGCCTTGTCGACCGCTGTGCTGGTTGACGACTACCACAGCAGCAGCTGAACGACATCATCGCTGGCCCGACTCTCCTGCACTCAACAACATACCCCTGCTATCCTAGCGTACCGTGGGTCGATCTTGGAATTACATTGGCCGCTGCGCCCCACTTGCGCCTGCGTCCCACTTGCACGCACCTGCGTCTGTGCGACCCTCTCTCCCCATCATGTCTCCCGAGCACGGCCGCATCCCGGATCCGAAAGAGGTGAAGAACTGGAAAGTCCACATCTACTGCCTGGCAGTGTGCTTCGGCGCCGTCGCCCTCGGTCAGCGCACCACCACTGCACCAGCATCCTATCCCCACCACTAACACCCGCCCTCCCGCAGGCTACGATGTCTCCGTCATGGGCGGCACGCTGATCCTTCCCTCCTTCGAGCGCGACTTCGGCCTCGCAAACCTCTCCGAAGACGAGCTGAACGACCTGACCTGTGCGGCCCCCTTCGCTCCCCCAAAAGCGGACCCCCTGTAGCTTGTGCCCCATGCTGACTGTATGCATTCCCCAGCAAACATCCTGTCCGCCTTTCAAGCCGGCATGTTCTTCGGCGCGCTCGGCTCGTACTGGTTCGCGGAGCGCTTCGGGCGCAAGCGCTCGCTGTGCGGCTTCATCTGCGTCTTCATGGTCGGCGCGGCCTTTATGACCGGGTCGAGCGGGCGGCTGGCGCTGCTGATCACCGGGCGGGCTGTTGCTGGTGTTGGGATCGGGGCGACGGCGCCGGTGATTCCTATGTGAGATGCTTCTTCGCTCCGCAAATGCCTCGTTGGCTGCCAGCTGATTCCCGTTCAGATACATCGCGGAGGTGGCGCCGCCGTCGATTCGCGGCAGGCTGATTGGGTTCTACGAGATCGGGTCGCAGGGCGCGCAGATGTTGGGGTTTTGGGTCAATTATGTTGTTAATCGGACGATGAGTCCGGAGGGTGCGTTGGCATCTCTTGCCCTGTACTCTCTCCTTCGTCCTCCTCCCGCTAACCCACAACCCAGGCATGTCCCAATGGCAACTCCCCATCGGCCTGCAAATGCTCCCGGGCTTCCTGATGCTCGTCGTCACGCCCTTCTGCCCGGAGACGCCGCGGTGGCTGTGCAAGAAAGACCGCCTGGAAGAGGCAGAGCGCACGCTGTGCGCTATCCGCGGCTTGCCGGCCGACGACCCGTACGTGGTGCACGAGATGCGCGAGATGGCGGCCGAAGTGGCGTTCGAGTCGGCCATGGCGGGGCAGAATCCGACGCTGAAGTCGCAGCTGAAGCAGCTGATCAAGAAGGGGATAAGGAATAGGGTTGCGATTGGGTTGTGTTTGATGATGTGAGTGTGTTTGTTTTTCCAGGCGGCGGCGGCGGCGGCGGCGAGAGGGAGATGGTTTGGGCGCGGATGATGACAAGCTTCCAGGTGCCAGAACATGACGGGCGTGAACATAATCACGTACTACTCCCCGCGTATCTTCGCGACCCTCGGCATTCAGAGCACCGACCTCAAGCTCTTCGCGACGGGCTTCTACGGCGTCGCCAAGACGGTCGGCATGATCATCTTTTCCTTCTGGGTCGCCGACCACCTGGGGCGGAGGAAGGGTCTCATCTACGGCGCCTTCATCGGCGCGGTGCCAATGGTAAGCGACAATTCTCAAACTCCTTCGCTGGCTTCTCCGCTGTTAGCCTGAAGCGCGCGCACTGTGCTGACGAGAGCCAGTTCTACATCGGCGGCTACGTCATGAAAGCGGACCCGGTCAACAACGACGGCAGCGTCACGTCATCGGGCTGGGGCTACCTCGCCATGGTCTGCGTGTACCTGTACGGCGTCATCTACTGCGCGTCGTGGCAGGGCATCACCTGGCTGTACGCGAGCGAGATCTATCCGCTGCACATCCGCTCGGTGAGTCGCTTCTTCCCTCCTGCCTCCCTCCCTCCCTTCCTTGTCCCCTTCCCCGCTGCGTGCGCTGTGCACGCACAACGCTGACACAAATTAAAACAACAGCTCTGCATGGCCATCACCATCGCCGACGAGCGACTCTGGTCGTACGTCGTCAGCCGGTCGACGCCGTACATGATCAGCGACCTCGGGTACGGGACGTACTTCTTCTTCGGGTCGCTGATGGTGCTGATGGGCTTCTGGGCCATGTGGTGCATTCGGGAGACAAAGGTGAGCTACTACCACCGCTGCCTCCTCCGCCGTCTGCTCCGCGTGCGGCGCAGGACGGCGTTGTTCTGGTGGGGAGTGACTGGATGCTGATATTTCGGGGAAAACAGGGCATGCCGATCGAGGAGATGGATCAGCTGTTCGGCGCGCCGCACGCACAGGAGCTGGATGAGGAGAAGCAGAAGGATGTGGAGTTTCGCGTGGAGAATCTTGAGGATGTGAAGGGGGTGAGGCGGTGATGATGTGTGGGGGGGGAGGTGTGGCTGGCCGCTGTGCGGGGCTGGGACGGGATGGGCGGGGGGGAGCTGTGGTTGCTGGCAACGCTTTTTTTCTTGATGATCTTATGATGGCGTTTGAGTCACTTTCGCACTTCGCAACGAGAGCATAGGAACATTCATTAAGCGCTTCCATATAACGTTTTTCCGAATTTTATGTACAGTCATCCGACATACGCTGCTTAAAAAGAATATTTACGTTTCTTCAAAGAACAAAGAACTCCACGTCTCAAACGCGGAATTACTGCATAGCAGGAATGGTGATGGTGTCGATGGTCCAGATCTTGCCGCCCTCGGTCTGCTTCAGCTCCGAGTAGGTCGCGCCCTGCGACGAGCCGATAGTGTCGCCGAAGGTGGTGTCGGCGCCGGCCAGCGTGATGACGGTGTTGAGGTACTTCTGCTCCTCGATGGTGCCCGTGCAGTCGCTCTGGCACTCAGTGCCGGTGCCGTAGCCCCTCATGTATGGGCCAGAGTCATACTGGAAGTACGTGAGGTTCTTGCCAGTGTCGGCGTCGGTGACGATCCTGGCAACTGTCAGCACTCCATCCATTACCCCCACAAAATTCGAAATACTCACTGCTCCCACGTCGTCCCATCCGCCATCAAGTTGTACTCGATGCGCACCTTGGTGTCGCCGCTGACGACGCCCGCCTCGCCGTCCAGCTGCCCGAAGCTGCCGAACAGCGACGCGCGGATGCACCACTGGCCCTCGGCGGCGCCGCACCACGAGTTGTCGTCGTAGTCCTCCAGCGTCGTCTGCACCAGGTGGCCCGTGCCGTTGCTCATGCCGGGCCACAGGAAAAGCTGGCCGTTCTGGTTCGGCGGCGCGCGGCCGGGGATGAGGGTGGTGACGCTGTGTATTCATTGTTAGTGATGCTGATGGGGATGGATGAGGGGGAGGAGGAGCAGGAGGAGGTGGGTGAGGCTCACGCGTTGACAATGGTCGACTTGGTCGGGCCGAGCGAGACGGCACCGCCCCAGGTGTCGAGGCGCTTCTCGACGGCGGTGGGGGCCGCGAGGGCGAGGGAGGGGAGGATAGCGAGGGCGGTGGAGGCACGCATGGTGTTGAGTGTGGTTAAAGAATGTGTGGTGTTGAGGAAAAGAGTGGATGCGGCTTGGATTGGATTGGACTGTCGATGCCAAACATCAAGGAATTGAGATCTTATAGCTGGTGGGCATAGGGGCCGTGGTCCTACTTCTGGACTCCAGATCGCCCTGCCAAGGGCGATTCGTGAAACCCGCAGCCCGCGTTTACGTGATGGACTGATGGGAGTTTCGGAAATGTTTGCCGCCTCGCTAAACACACTGACATGGTGGTTTTCCCCGGGAAGTCGTGGCCGCAGGCTCGATGGGGAGGAGCGGCAGCGGCGGCAACATACTAATTAGGCGCAACGGCCGTTTTGTTCGTATTGGGCTTGGAGTTTCCGTTTCAGGTCAGACAACTGGGGTTGGTGGCCGAAATGGTGGTTTCACGGGTCGGCGGTCAGCCGGAAATATAGTGCAGCCCTGGCCGCTGCGGGGAATGTGCGTCCGCCATGGTGGTTTCCACCCCACAGTCGCCTAAGCGAGCTGTATAGGAGAAGGAGAGAGCGCGAATCGTGCTGATCCGCGAATCACAAGCATCGAAAAATCGGCTTCTGATTTGCCGGCATCCGAGCTGATTGACAGGTGAGGGTGGTTCTATTCTAGAATAGGGGGGTTTGGGCGCAAATCGTTATGGTTGGAGGGAGTTTTGTGTCTGCTCACGAGTCGCTGTTGTAGATTTCCGTCCGTTGATGGAACAATGTGTTTCAAGCGATTCAACGTTGTTTCTTGGCTGAATGACTCAGAACCATAGAACTATCAGAAACATTGATTTTTCCATAAGCTGTCCGTAGCTATTCAACGATGAAGAATGAGCTTCTACCTGCAGCTGAATGCAGTTGCTATACTAGCGCTTCCAAGAGGCAGAGAAAAGCTTGAGGCCGCAGCTTAACTTGGACGACCCCCCTGTCGACGCCACAGCGTTTTCAAGATTGCCGACATGCCACCGGTCGCGTAATGAAACAGAACGGCTGCAAGACATCAGGTCCGCGGATTCCACAGATTCCGTCAAGGAATTACGCCTAAATCAAGCTTAATTGGCCGCGCTAGAGGGGACAATGGCCCGCATTGCCGAACCCCGCTGAGAAACTCAACCGTGGGCAACGAAGCTGTCCTTCTCCAACACCAAACACTCAGCAGCACTACTTTCTCACGATGCCCATGCCACAGCAACTCCGATGCTTCAGTATTATTAACATTCATTATACAGGAATTAATACACGTCTAAAATCTAAAACGAATTATGAGGTCCAAGTGGGTGTTTCGAAGGGAAGGGAAGCAGCGAAGATACAGACTCTCCATCTCCAGCCCACCTCTCAATCCCACGACAGCGCCAGCCCCGTGAACGCGCACTCCTTATCCTGATACACAACCTCCTTCCTCCCATCCTCTTGCACCCTCCACACCGTGCCTCCCAGATCCGCCACATACCAGCACTCATTCCTCTCATCCCTCTCCACGCCAATCGCCTCGTCAAAATTCTGCGCGACGACCCTCCACGACTTCCCCACCACCTCGCCCTGCGCATCCAACACCACCCTATTCAACGAGTTCCCAAACGGCACCTCCCCGCGATCCGTCCACACCAGCTCGCCGCGCTCCCCATCCCACAGCAAGTCAATCGGCTCCGGCAAGCCCTCCAGCAAACACTTCACGCTGCCCTTCGGATCCTTAATCTCCGCGCTGAAGATGCGTCCCTTCCCCCCCTTCGACGGCCCCTTCTGCGTCCAGAAAAAACGCCCCAGCGCCGGCGCGACCGCGACGCCGACGCACCACCGCGTCTGGTCCTGCCGCTCCTCCTCGTCCGTCCAATCCCCTGCTTGCACGATGGTCTCCAGCTCGCTTCCGTCCATGTTGCACCGGTGCACGCGCATGCCCTCGCGGTCGCACACGTACAGCTTCCGTGCTTCGGCATCCAACGCGATCTGCTTCGGCGTGTGCAGCCCGGCGCCGGGCGGCACGAGCGTGCGCATGTCGCTGCCGTCGAGGTTGGCGGAGAGGACGGCGCCGTCGTTGGCAGTCGGGATGCCCATGTGGGTCCAGATCATGCGCGGTTGCGGGGTCGCGGCGCGGTCGATGACGATGCCGTCGGGGAGGTTGAGCGATGTGAGGAGCGGGGTGGCGGTGGCGGTGTTCGGCGTTAGGGAGAGGATGCGGCCGCGGTAAGAGACGTCGGCGGCGGTGGTGGCGCCGGCGAGGGGCGCGGAGAGGCCGATGTCGAGGACGGTGATGGTGGGGTGGGGGGATGGGGCGGCGGCGGCGGCGGGCGAGGTGGTGGTGCCGTTGGTGGTGGTCGGCGTGGGGTAGAAGCCGCCCTGCGCGCTCTTGCGGCCGAGCTTGCCCTTGGAGACGTAGTGCTGCTGGAGGTACTCGAGATGGGATGTCGGCAGGCCGCGCTCCTTGATGTAGTGCTGCTCGATGAAGGCAACGGTGTCGAGGCCGACGTCTGTGCGAGGCGGTGGTTAGCCTGAGGTAAGAGAGAGAAAGAGCCAGGGAAGGGAAGCCTACGGTCCATCATATCGCACGGCTTCAGCTTATCGCCAAACATGTGCACCCACACCTCATCCAGCTCCTGCGGCACCGACACGCCCTCGTCCATGATCATCAGGAACTCGCGCTTGATGGCCGCCCACACCCGATTGAATATAAACCCCGTCGACTCCTTCCTCGCCACATACGGCTTCAACCCGGCCTCGCGGTGCCGCTCGACCAGGAACGGGAAAATGGCCGGCTCGGTGTAGCCGTCCGTCATCAGCTCGACGACCATGTTGACGGTCGGCATGAAGTAGTGCGTGTTGAGGATGCGGCGCTTGGTCGCGTCGCCCACCTTCTCGAGCATCTCGCTCGACTTGTACGACGACGAGTTCGAGCACAGCAGCGCGTCGGCGGGCGCGAGGGCCTCCAGCTCGGCGAAGGTGTCGATCTTGATGGACAGCTTCTCCGGCACTGCTTCAAAGACGAGCCACGCGTCCGCGACTGCATCGCCTAGGTTTTCGAAGGCGACGGCGCTGCCGACGTTGGTGCAGCCGGTGAAATCGCGGGCGTAGGTGGAGACGTTGGAGGAGACGAAGTCGACGGCTTCGGAGCGCTGCGTTGCGCTCGGGTCGCGGATGTGCACCGTATAGCCGGCCGACGCCCAGCAGCAGGCTGTGGAAAGCGGGTTAACTTGCTGTCATGTTACGGCTGTGTGAAGGTTGACGTACCGATACGGCGGCCCAGCACGCCGCCGCCAAGGACGGCGACGGGTCTTGAGGCGTAGTTTGCAGGTGGAGTCCAGGTACTCGACATGGCGTGACTGACAAAGGAGAAATCTTCAGACTGGAGAAAGAGCTGGGGTATGATGGGGCAGAAATCCACTGACGTCGCCCATGGCGGCACATATATACAGGCTCAGGACAGTGACGTTCATCCTGATCACAGCATTTTCTCCTTTCCCCGGCCGAGAGCGCAGTTTACTCAACTGCCCGATGTCCGCGGCAGACGGCAGTCAGGCTGTGAGCGTTCGGACCGCATCGTGGAAGTCTCGGACGAGCTGTGGAGACCGATGCTATCAGGGACGAACCCAGAGCGGCGGTATTATCCCTGGTAGTGCCGATCTTCCACGTGTGCGCCGTTACGCTAATCTACAAGGAGCTAGTGTGGAGAGCCTTGGCCTGCGTCAAGCCATACGAAATACCACCTCTGCCCACCTCATCTCCAGTCCTCCTCGGTCTTTGGGGATCTCCCTTGGTTGAACATCACTGATTGCTTTAAATTCTCCCTAGACATGTTCCGTATCAACATGTGATTCTGGCAGAACTTCCAATGTGCGCAGCCCAGCGCGGACGGAGATGTCTCGTCAGTCTCTCGGCTTCTGATTTTTCACTCAATTTCTCCTCCTTTTCGGCTTGAAGTCAGGAGTCTGATGCTTCACTCAGTCTCTCATGCATTTCGGCTTGAAGTCAGGAGTCTAATCCCTCACCTCGGTCTGTATACAAGTACCGAGGAACATCACATGAAGGAGGAGTGAAATTTGATGAACGATTGTGGTATTTCGACATGTCTATCCGCAATATGATCTCCGCCGATCTCAACCCTATCTATCATCGCAAAAAATAGAACCCTACTGAAAAGAAGAAGTCTAGAACAGACCGAATAAACGAAGAACAACACGAGTGCAATGACGCCGCCGTATGCAGATCAAACAACCTCTCCGCAAATCCCTCAGCCCTACACAAACAACCCCTCATCCCACCCCCACCTAAAACGTAAAGACCTGATCACTCATCTTGCACACCGTGCCCGGCACCTGGAACCCCATCTCCTTCAAGCTCCCCTTCGCCGCCTTCACCATGCCCGGCGGGCCACACAGCACAATCTTCGTATCTTCCGCCACTGCCGGTAGGCGCTCCTTCATAACCTCCTTCGTCACGTACCCCACACCACCCGTCCACCCCCCCTCCGCCGGCGGGTGATCCAGCATATAATGCACGCGGAAATTCCGCGGATACAGCCGCGCGAACCGATCCAGCTCCTCGCGCAGCAAAATGTCTTCCTCGCCGCGATTCGCGTACACCAGGCTCACCTCGGTCAGGTCCTTCGGGTCCTCACATATCGCGCGGATCAGCTGGTACATGGGCGTTATCCCCGTGCCGCCCGCGACCATGCCGATGCGGCGCGCCCACCCGCGGCGGTACCGCATCGCGCCCTTGGGCCCGCGGAAGGCCACTTCGTCGCCGACGCGCAGGTTCGCGAGGTACCCGCCCGTCAGCGCGCCGTCGGGGTAGAGTTTGATGACCAGCTCGAGCTTGCCCGGGTCGCTGTTGTTGCTGGTGGGGGTGTAGCTGCGCGCGACGTGCGTGCCGTCGGGCAGCGTGCCGCGGATGCTGACGTGCTGGCCGATTGGCAGCCCCAGCACCATTTTCTCGTCCGGAAGCGCGAAGACGTAGCGCACCGTGTTGGGGGAGAGTTGGTCGATGCGCACGAGCGGGAGCGGCTTGTACGTGTGCGCGTCGAGGAAGCCGGTGACTTGACGTGTGACGGTCGAGGGACCGACTTTGATGCGCGAGGGGTAACGACCGAAGCCCGTCCCGATGGTGAAGGCGGCAGACGCCCGGTTGAAGGCGTAGGCGCTGCCGAGCGCGAAGGCGGCGGTGCTGAGGAGGACGCCGGACCAGAAGTCGTTGGGGCCGCTGGCTACGGGGAGAGACGGCAGAGTAGGCAGGCGCTTCAGCAGGGCCGGGTCGATCAGGCGCGCGGTGATGGCGGCGCGGGTGCCGGCGGCGGCGAGGGCGGTGAGCGTGAGGGTGGTGAGGAAGGCGGTTGGGATGGAGCTGCCGGAGCCGGATTTCGCGACGGCGGTGGTGGAGGATGAGGGTGTCCGGCTGACGACGCGGACGGCCTTCTTGGGCTTGTTGGCGGCCGCTTCTTCGGCGCTGAGCACGCCGATGAGGAGCGGCTGGAGGAGCTCCCGCGCGTCTTCCGAGTGGCCGACGTCTTCGAAGGCGGCGGTGCAGTCGGTGCCGGCGACTTCTTCGATGGCTTCGGTGCCGCCCGGGTGGTCGAGGAGGTAGTTTGTCACATCGTAGACTGGAGTTGTCTTAGCGATTTTTTCTTTGGGAGCAGGAGTGTTGGAGTGCTACCTTTGCCGTGGACGACAATCCACATGTCATTCTTCTTGTTGTGTGCGGCCACCTCTTTTAACGAGTAGATGGGCACCTCAACCTCGGGCTTCCATTGAGCGCCGGGCTCGGTTCTTGCTTCTGTGGACACCATGATTTCTGTGGAGGAAAATTAAAAAGGAGAAGTTGAAAGTTGCAAAAGTTTCGTTGCGCTACTGAGGATCCCCAAGCCTTTTCTTTTCTCTTCTCAAGGGAGACACGGCCGAATGCTACAGGGGGGTTCCACCAGCACGACGCTGCACGCCTCAACAATTAAAAAGCATTGTCGCCACGGGGGACATTTGGTTGTTGCACGGTGACGTTGCAAGGTCCGTGTCATCGGCCGAAGAGGCTCGTCCGCGGATGGGTGTACCGGATACGCCCGTAAGTCGGCGCGGGTGTGGCGCTTGATTGGCTGCAGGAGGCGTCGTCCAAGCTTTTCCTTCGAGAAGAACCACAGAACGTCATCGGCGGGCCGAGCCGCGGGCGAACAGTTGTCAGCAGCCGAATCAGTCGTCGCGCATTGGCTGGCAGGCCAGAGATACGCAGTCGGGCCGGCCGCTGCAATCTCTTGCAAGGCCGAATGCCTCGGGATCGCTGCTAGAAACGGGCCTCTTTGCGTCAGTGCTCGGCCGACTATCCTCACCCCGACCGATATACTCGTCCGCTCCCCGTAGACGGGATGAAGGCAATTCGCGCTCCCCTCCCAAACGCCTCTGGAGTATAAGTGCGCTGCGGGCCTCGGCGCAGAGAGAAATAGTCTCCCCAAGCTCAAACTCCCTTTTCTCACATCAGCCACCATGTCGAATCAATTCTACCTGTGGGGCGAAGACGCCTCCACCGCCATCGACGTCGAGGTCGATCTGCAAGAAAACCTCGACAGCTTCAGACACACAATCGCTGGCCAGTTCGCCATCGTCGAGCCGTCAGGTGAGTTTTCCCCGCACCTGTGAAACCCCCGCCCAGCGTCTGACATTTCTGCCTCAGGCATCGACTTCCTGGCACCCGAAGGCCACAGTCTCGCCAGCCCGTCCGAAATCGTCGACACACCCGGCCCCATCGCCATCTCCATCGATGGCAAAAAAGTGCGCGAGGCGCCCGCACCCAAGGGCCTGCCGTTCGTGGGCAACTACTACGAGATCTTCCCGGACCACCTGGGCAACCACCAGCGGCTGTTCGACCACTACGGCGCCGTGTTCAAGACGACCAACATGGGGCGCACGACGTACCACACCAACGACCCGGAAATCGCCACCATCGTCTTCTCCGAGTCCGACTTCTTCACCAAGCTCATCACGACCGAGCACCCGCTCTACGGCATCAAGCAGCCAACCGCCGGCATCTTCCTCGGCGACACCGACACCGAGGACTGGCGCGTCGCGCACAAATTCCTGCCCCCCGCCTTCGGCCCCAAGGCGGTGCGGCACTACGCACCCACCATGCAGCGCACCGTCGAGAAGGCCTTCGACGTCTTCGACGAGCTCGACAAGAACGGCGAGGCGTGGAACGTCTACCAGCACATGCTCAAGCTCGGCTCCGAGGCCGTCGGCAAGCTCGTGCTGGGCATGGACTTCGGGCACTTCGAGAGCGTCGACGCGCCCATCCACCGCATGGTCCTGTGCATCGCCGAGTCGCTAGAGCTGAACAAGAAGGTCACGTCCATGGGCGACTGGTACGCGGCGCTGCCGTTCGGCGACCCCAAGCGCCTGCGCAACCTGCAGGGCGAGATGGAGCGCATGCTGGACGAGGTCATCGCGCAGTGCGCCGCCGGCGGCACCGAGGACCTCGAGCTGCAGGAGGCCGCGCTCAAGGCGACGTGCGTCATCGACTACGCCGTCCGCGCGGTGGATAGCAAGGGCGAGCGCCTGCCCAAGAAGAACCTGACTGGCGCGCTCGTCGTCGCGACGGGCGCCGGCTTCACCACCACCTCCTCTCTCCTCTCGTGGCTCATCTACGGCCTCGTCACGTACGACGGCATGCAGGAGCGCCTGCTGCAGGAGCTCGTCGACGCCGGCATCGACGAGGACACGCAGTGGGACGCCGATACCGTCGATAAGCTGCCCTTCCTCGTCAACTACATCAAGGAGATGCAGCGCCGCCACAACCCGTCGTTCCAGCCCGCCCGCACCGCGAAGGTCGACCTCGTCCTGCCCGGCGGCTACAAGATTCCCAAGGGCGCGGTTGTCGTGCCCGCGCTGCACCACATTCACAATAACCCGAAGCTGTGGGATAACCCGGCCAAGTTTGACCCCGATCGCTGGGAGACGGAGAGCGTGAAGAATAGGCATCGGGGCACGTATTTGCCGTTCGCCACCGGGCCGCGCGGGTGTATTGGGTTTAACTTTGCGCTGCAGGAGGTAAGGATTTTCTTGCCGAAGCTGGTGTACAGGTACCACTTTACGAAGGTGGGGGATGATGCGGTTGAGTATGATCCCATGTTCCAGCTTATTCGTCCGGTCAACTTGTATGTGCGGGCCGAGAGGAGGCAGAAGTGGCCGCCGAGGAGTGAGGCGAAGGCGTAGGTGTGTTGGCAATTGCAGTGCATGATGGGCAAAATGGTATATCATTGGGCGGAGTTCTAGATGGTAGATAGACGGGCGCATGTATGCTTCTTTTATATCCCTGTACATGATGTATTATTCCAAGAATGGCAGTCTTGAACTTGTTGTTATCATTGCATGCATTGCTCTCTACGGGGTTCGGTTTTTCGCCCATGCCATGGGTTGTTGAGACATTCGTCTGGACGTGTATGTAAAATTATTAATTCGACATTTTCGTCCGGACAATAGCTTCAGCTACCCATGAAATGCACGGAAAACAAATCAACGCCAGCCTTCTGAGGAAAGGCTCTCTGTATTTGTGATTCAAAAGTCGTGAAGGCGAAGAGTGCCATGTAGCGTTCACAAGTCCGCGTCTCTCAAACTGCTACAAATTACTACTCAAGGTCCCAACGGAATATCAATGTGTTTTTTCAAAATTCTCAAGGGCTCTCAACTTTTGATTGCAAATCGTATCTAACCAAGTACGATGGTCTCGAAAACAGGCTTTGCCGCCTTCCATTCCTTGAGCGTCACCGACCCAAGCCCCATCCTATAAGCAACGCCGTCAACACGTCGGATCCGCATGACATTTACTCTCCAAATACGCTTATGCCTATGACGCCTGTAACGTCTGTCAAGTTTAGGGTCATCATAATCATGACCCTTGTCAGAAAGATCGTCACTCTCTGTAAAAGAAAGGGCGATCATTCCCACATATTCAAGCTCTCCTGAACCTTCACATGATTGTTGCATGCCTTCTACATATTCACCATCCCTAGCTGGGCCTTTATTCTCATAGTCGATTATTAGGTCCTTTGGAAAACGAGCAGATTGAGTGCGAACAAGAATGTGTCCTGGGCGGAGGCAGAGGGGGTATTTCTCAGCCAAACCTAATTGCGAGGGTGTCGATGACGACTGTAGCCCGCGACTCTGGAGCCAGAAAGATTGGTAAGATTTCCAAATTGATTGAGACCATTGGGACTTGAAAATCGGCGCTGTGGCCTTTCCCAAGTGTGGTGGGTGCTCTCCTTGAAAGAAGCCTGCTTTCCACGCCTGATCTAACAGCGATGAATTGTATTTGAAGTTTTCATCACTTCCATGGCCGATGAAGCGAAGTTCAGAGTTGCCACTCGCCGTACGGAGGTTCATAGCCCAGGTAGCGACGGGTAATGAATCCCTAGCAGAATGGGCCCCCGAGAAATCCACTCCTCCCATGACAGACAGCCATGACCAACTCGGGAAGATGTCATTGTCGGTCGACTGCCGAGTCACTCTCCGTCTATCCTTAGCGTTCCAACAAAGAGCAGCATCGAATGATCGAAGGGGGGATCCGTAGGCGTGCTCTTCGCCATAGGACCTCCGCAGCACCCCCGAGAATGCTTTCTCGATGTCAGTATCATAGCTTAGTGTCCGGCGAGAATAAGCCTCGACAGACTTGAAGAAGTCTTTGATTGAGCCGAAAACACTGGTGGTGGTGGTAGGCGGATTGGGAGGCTCTGCAAGGATTTTGCGGGATGACTTTTTGCGCTCGTAGAAGACACCGTAATCGGTGAAGAAGATGAGGTTTGCCGAGAACACTGCTTCTTGGTATGTCCAGCCTCTCTGATTCCACGCCATTCGTGGCACTATGTCATTGACGAACGCAGGTAGTTTCTCAGTCAATTCCACGCCCTGTATGCGTATGTGGGCCTGTCCGGGCGAACGTTCAGTGGAGACTCCTGGCAAGCCGTATGAGGCACCCTTCCCTGCTGCGGCGACAAAGGTAGCCAACGCACTTTCATAGATAGAGTCCATTTGGTTGATCAGATTGTGCTTGGTCTGCGGGTCGTCTTGTACTATGCAGAACCGATCCACCCACAAGTAGGGGATTTTCAGTTCTGAAGCTGCGGTCATAGCATCAAGGATGGTCAAGGGGACGCCTGCTTGCTTGAGTGCACCTGGCTTTTCAAGGTCGCGAATATTTGCCAAGTTTGCTTGCAAGTCCCCCTGATTCGAACTGCCCCAGACATAACTGAGCGCTGCGTATTTACAGCTTCTTGATTGTGACACGATGCAGGCACTTTCCACATCAATCACCAGGAAACTTTGAGAAAGCCGTGGCGTCGAAGTGTGCTGACTGGCGAGATTGTCGGAGTGTGGCGGCGATGTTTCAGACATGTGCTCGTGCTTCCACTTGTGTAGAGCCCCCCAGTCAACCTTTGAGGAAAGGGTTGCAGGAGTCCTGTTGGGCTTGCGCGCGTCATGAACGGAGAATTGAATTGCTTTCGGTACTCCATGACGTCCCCGGAGGACGGGGCCATCGCTGTTGAATTCTAGGAAGATGGGTTTTCCTTCCCCTGGAATCGTTTCTTGCCAGAACCGATATCGATTGGCCATCAGACCACAGAAGAACCGGCAGAGCGGACAGTTCTGCCGCGATTGCAGCTCGGAAAAACTGCCTAGTTCGACTTTCAAGTCCTTTAGGTTTGTATATTGTCCATTGCCAGAGCCCCATCCTGACAAGCAGAGGAGGATGTGCCGGATGCGGAGGTGCTGACAGAAGGTGCAACAATCAGAAGGACCGATATCTTGCGGACAATCCTTGCATGGGTTGTGAAATAGTGTCGAATGAAAGGTACAGCTTGTCGACATTGGTTGGTAATCTTTGAATTTTAGACATTTGCAGAGAGAACAAGGGAGGCCTTTCGTCAGCCCGTTCGATGGTCTCTCCGGTGATTCCATACCGGCAAAAGCGTCTGCAGGCAGTGCCAAGTCGAGAACACCAGTAATGAGCTGGGGAGGTATGCTTTAATTTTGATTGGCCGCTCTTGTGTTTGTCTTCCTGAGCAGTTCTGAATCACATGTCGGTAGGAGGAACGAAATTGATGAGCTCAGTTTGAGGTAGAAGAGGGAAAAGCGGGGTAAAATTTGTTTTCCAGGCAGTATTAGGCAACAGGTCTTGCTGCATCATCTGATTCAATCTCATCTGTAGAAGTACGTGGTTGAGTCCTATGAGTGGATCGGCAAGGCTTAGTTCTTACTTAACCTGGCATGCTGCATATGCAGCAGAGCAGGGAAGAATTTTTCAAGCCCTGGCGCAGATCAGTGACTTTTTCAACCCAGCCTGGTCATATCTGGCCAATCATATTAAGCGCATTGTAGCCAGAGAACCGCGAGAACATGGGTACCCAAATTTACGAAGAAGCTCACATTTAGCAAGTGCACATTCACCATTTCCACCATAATCGCCTTCAATAACACTAAGAATAGCGGGATAAATAAATACTGTTGCGGGCTGCGAGGCAACCGCAAAATCCTACTACACGCAGTCACGTGGCCGTAGCTGGCCAGGACTACCTCCGATGGGAGTACAGGGGTAATGGATGGTAGTCTGCAATACGCCATTCTTTATATACACATGCAAGGAGAGTTGAAGCTAACGTCCGGAAGTAAACGTATAATTATTAATTTGACATCCACGTACAGATAGTAGTTTCACATACCCATTAAATAAGTGAAAATAAGTCCTCGCTAGTCTTCGTCCGTAATGCCACTCTGTAATCTCACACGCCTACCGCTTTACAAAACGATATTCGTGCGCTAGCATTTTCTATATATGACAGCGGTGAATCTTTTATTTCTTTCTCATCCTGCTGCACATTCTCGCTCTCCCTCTTCTCCTTTTGCTTTGCCTTCCATTCCTTTTGCCAATTTCCCAACCATTTTCCGTCCCGGTGTACGTGGACCGTGCGGTCCTTTTCTTTCTTTCCAGGCGTCTCAGCTTGACAGAGCAGATTGTGCATCAAAGAATTGAAAGGGCAATCCGTAAGCGTGCTCTTGACCAAAATCTCTGCTCGTCATTTAACTATGCGGTTTCGAAGACTCCTTCGGCATGACATTCCCTACTCCCCGAAGCGAACACAGGCTATTTCTTCTTCTGTTGCACTTGGCGATGAAAGATGATGGTAATTGTCTGCACTGAATGGGTGGCATAAGGACTGAGTGGGCGGTTAGCCGGGTGCCGGCTTTATACCCTGCTCAGGTGACTAAGCTAACTACGGTTTTGCTACAGTACATTGTGCAACATCTTCTTCTTCTGCTTCTCGGCCTGCTCAGCCTTCTTCTCCTCCTTCCGCTTGTTCTTCCAAGCCCTCTGCCAGTTCCCCGACCAGGCGCCCCACTTGTCTACGTGCGCTGTGCGCTTCTTCTCCTTCTTCCCCTGGGAGGAGCGATCTTGCCAAAATTTTGTTTGTATGATCCACTCATCCTCATTTTCCAGATTCGGCGGGTGGGTTCATGGCTCGATGGGGGTGCGGCTTAGAAATTTCGCTCAACCCGCCCCCCGGCACCTGCGATGTTCTTCTCGGTCGCCGATCGCCATTTCATGGGCTGGTTCTCCAACCAAGACCGACTGCCGAGCTTTTTCGAGCCTCAGATATAGTTAACGGGCGGAGAGGGTCCAGGACGTTGGGTGGCGAGGAACGGAGTGGCCGGCGCGGCGGCGAGCGGTGGTGGTGATGCGGATGGTTGGTTGTCGGCCGCCAAGCACTGCGGCTTCACACGGCGAGCGGTCGGCAAGTACTCAGGGCGTTCAGTGGCGGCGAGAGCAGAGCGGGAGGTCGGAGAAGGGCGTGGGGCGGGGCGGGACGACGGTGGTGCGCAGTGGCTGCACGCGCGCGAGGCGCGCACGACAACAGAAACAGAGGAAGCCAAACGAAAAAGCACTGGATGCGGTGCGGTGGTGGTCATCTTCGATGGTGGTGTTGGACGGTTGATTGCCGACCCCCAAACTACCGCGCCTTCGAGCTCGCTGGCGCAAGCCAAGGTTCCAGAGCGGGAGACGGCGAGAGCAGATCGGAGGGTTGGAGAGGGAGACGGCGGCGGTGCGGCGGAGAGCAGTGGCTGCATGCGGAACACGCGTAGGACAACGTAGTGGGGGAAAAGCGATGAGGCATCGCGCGTGCGGCGGTGTTTCGAAATGTGGGCAGCTGCTTGTTGCCGGACGCGCGGCGTCGAGGTCAGTTGGCTGCCCACAAGTGCTCTTGCCCTTTCGGGAAACTGCCACGGCCACGCGGCCACGATATTGAATCATAGGTCTTTCACGTATCCGAAATTATTACCACATAGCCCTGTCGGATGGGTTGCGAGTGGCTCGAAGTACTACTCAAGGAAAAATGATTTGGCGTGTTGATTTGGGGACGAAGTATTTCCGGGAGGGTTCTGAAATTCGCCGAAGTGGCTGCTCCTCTTGGAAAGCCAATCAGAGTGGCTTGCTTAGACTGTTCTCGGTGCTAAAACAGTTTGGCGATTCACTAGCATTTGACGTTGCAATCCAGGGTCCGGCATTAAAGTAGCAGTACTGGCACGATGACGTAGATCGGTCTCGATAGAAAACTTTTCAACACTCTCACCAGACATTCAGACTCCAACACCATGCCATTTTGCCGCCTTCCAATGCGGTTACCCATTTCGCCTCTTCACCCACTAGGTGCACGATCGCGTGTCACTTCGCTGCGGCGACGCTCGCCATCGGCGCGCCTTAGCCGCACAACACGCTGCCAACATCACGGACTGGTCGGAAACAAAGAAACTGACGACGATGACGATGAATATGAAGTCGGGGACGTGATGGAGGAGGATAGAGTACTTGACTTCCAAGAGAACTACTTTCCTGTCAAGCTCGGTCAGATCTTTGACGGCAGATACCAAATATTACAAAAGATATACTGGAGCCGCTCCTTCACTCACTGGTTCTGTCTAGACCAGAGGTCTGTAGATGCGCTCATAGGTTTTATCCCTACGCCGGCAGCTAATGTGCTTTTAGAACGAACCGCTACGTTACTCTAAAGGTATCAACCGCCATGTCTACCAAATTCGATGATCACCTCGTTACCCGAGAGCTGCAGAACTACCGTTACATCCAATCAATTAACTCTACCCATCCTGGCCGAAGCTTTATCCGCCCTCTTCTGGACACCTTTGACATTCCTCGATCCGACGGCAGATTCCATAGATGCCTTGTTAACCCATCATTCGTAACTCGGATATATGGCAACACTGACATCAAAAGCGACATGTACGCCGTCCTTCAGGCACTTGATTTCCTACATACGGTCGACGTGACGCACTGCTGTACGTTGACGCAGGCCTTCCAGAAGGCATACGGATAGTGTGACTAACGACGCGACAGCTATTTCGGAATCGGACGTAACGCGGGGTGTCCAGGACGAGCGGGTCTTTGATGACGTACACTTTCAGAACGATTCCCACGCCTGCATGATCAAGGGCCATCCCGTCTATTGTGGAGAAGGTGTCGAGGTCGACTCGGCGTCCTACAGCTTCCCAGCGGTATCTGGTCTTGCGTATTCACGCGTTGGGTCCATAAAAACACTTGACCGTATCCAAGGGCCGTATTGTCAAGCTCCAGAGGCAGTGCTGCAGACCGGCAACTATTCCCATGCAATCGATATCTGGAACCTCGGATGCTTCGTATGCCCTCAGTCCGTACCAGCGAAGCCCATTTCACAGCGCTAACGCATCTTATCAGGCCTGCTCATGGCCAACAGAATCGTCGAAACTACTGTTCTGGCCGTACGATAGCGAGAACGAAGAGTATTCTGCCTACCTTCATCTGGCGCAGATAATATCCCTCCTCGGCCCGCCGCCACGCGCACTGCTTGCACAAAGCCCTCTTTCGCCTTTACTATTCAATAATGCCTGTACGTACACATCAACTTGGCCCGCGTACGCTCTTTTTAGCTTACCGAGCTGCAGGTCACTTGGTCCCCCCCGCGGAACTGGATCTGAACGTCGTTGATGCCGCCCTGTACTCCGAGGGAAGAGAGCGTACATTCACCTGGACTCCAAGCAGAATTAACGGAGTGCGAGGCACAGAGAGGGAGCCGTATCCAGCCCACCCTCTACCAGTGCGCTCGCTAGAAGCACTGCCGTGCGTGCGTAATCAGCCTGAAGAGGACAGAGACGAGTTTGTGGATTTCCTACGCCGAATGTTCGTATGGCAGCCTGAGCAGCGGGCGACTGCGGCAGAGCTGCTGAATTATTCGTGGTTGAAAGAATTCCGTTCTTTGGGTGTGTTTCGCAAGATATACTGTGGCCTGCCAACTTACAACGGGATTTAATGGCGGCGGTTATCTTCAGGCCCTGGATTTAGTAACGGGTAGCGATGAGAGAGATGTGGGAATATATTGAAAATTATTTTGGTCCTTGTGACTAGATTAGTCCCGTTAGATCCACTCCACCGATCTCTCTACTCGTGTCTCTATGCCTTCTCTGTCGAAGAAACCATTTTTTTGAAATAAGTATACACTACCATCCGTGTCAGCCTCTATAGCCCGCAATAATATCTATGACACGAGGCTTGAAAAGGTTTTAGCATTGCCTCTTTTACATTGTGAACATCTCAAAACTACTCGATATGCTCAACAAAACGTCATAATCTCATCTCATTATTACGTAGATTACTGAGTTCAAAGCTCTTCACCCTACAAAAAAAAAGAAAGAAAATGGACTGCTAACGTTCTGCCGACCTCCGCCATGTTCAATTTTCCCATCAGCTCAAACTTGGAGGTACAATCTGCAAAGGAGATCCGTAAATCACTTTGCTATATCGATTCATGTTTCAGTCTGCTTTGGCCTTCTCCTCTGTTTCCCACTCGTACTTGAACGGAGCTGACCCAAAATTCGCGCGGACCCGAACGCCTTTAGGGAACATGCCGATGGCAGGGAAGAGCCTACCGTTAATTCTGTCCCCGACCCATCCATTATCTGGGCCTACTCGTTAGCAAGTAGCTTTAGTGTTTAAGTATATATAAAATATGATAGAAAAATAAAAAACCAGAAGACGACACGGGGCATATGAGTACTTACCGAGTCGCTCCCCGTTCTTCGTGAAAAACATGACTCGCTTCACGAAATCGACGCCCGCACCTACGACATCGCCCTGGCCATATTTCGGACCGTACTTTGGGTATTCAGGGTCACTGGGCACGTATTCATATGCCTGATCCAATATGCATCCGTCGTCGCCGTGGTAAGCCCAGGATGGGAAGTTACAGGTGGTCCAGCCGGGGAGGCCGTCTAGAGACGCATATTTGGAGCAGAAGCCAATAACCACGTTACTGAAGGAGTGACTGAAGTTAGATCTTATCTTGCCAAGTCGGTTCAACGGGGAAGCGTGCCGGTAAGGAGGACGTACTTGTATGGGTCCGCGTCTCCGCACTTCACTATCATCACCTCGTAATAGTAGTGGTTTGTGCCCGGCGGGATGGGACGATCTGCACGTGCTGAAGCGTGTCGCTGTGACGGATTGACACCATCTGAGACAGTCTCACGTTAGCAAGTGAATCGTCTCTCACAAAGTTAGTGCCTAATGCTGTCACTACTCACCAGCCGGTAAAGGTGTAGAAGCAGCACCAAACACCTCCAATCCATCCTCCGACACATCAAGGGACGACATCTTGTCAAATCCACTCCACCGGCTCGGTGAACCTCCAGATAGCAGGTCGATGATGTTCTGGCGGCCCCCCTGCACGGCGAGCATTAACGGAGTGCACCCGGTCTCGTCCTGAACGTGCACGAGGTCCAGCAAGAGGCGGCACAAGTCCTCAGCCCCTTTGTCGATGGCGCGGAAAAGCAGATCCAGACGATCGCCCTCGGGCAGCGGCGGGCTGTCTTGCCACAGAATGGTGATGATTTCGCCCCAGGAGGAGTTCCCGTAGTCGTAGAATGCCTTCCAGCCCTCGACAGCATGCGCCAGCGGCGTTCTTCCATCGTTGTTGAGAGCGGAGAGGATAGAAGCGTCTGAGGCATCAGCAATTAGCTTGAAGGTTTGGGCATGGCCGCGGTGGGCGGCTGAGTGCAGTGGTGTGGCGCCATGTCGGTTGCGCTGGGCGCAGAGGAGCTTTGCGTCGCTGCTGTATTCTAGTAGTAGCTTCACACAGCCTTCTAGGCCTTTGGCTGCGGCGCGATGCAATGGCGTCTGATTGTTGATATCACGCTCCATCAAGAAGTCCATGCCATCACCACCGCACATCCCATCTTTCATCTCCTTCTCGGCATTTGCGTCTGCAAACCCCTTTGCCTCCTCGTTCGGCTTCGTTGTCTCCCTCTCCGCCACCGCGCGTTCTTTCTGACTCTTAAGCAGGAACTCGAGGATGGCATCGTTTCCGAGTTCGGCGGCCAGAGCGATGGGCGTACGCAATTTTTGGTCCCGTACCAAAATCCTTGCACCGCCTTCTTCGACGAGAAGCTTCACAAGGTCAAGGTTCTTCACGGCAACAGCAGCGTGTAGAGCAGTCCAGCCGAAAACAGTCTCCGGGTCATCAACATCTGCGCCGCGGGTGATAAGGAGGCGAGCAATGGAAGTATTACTGGTTCCGCAGGCCTTGAACAACGGCTGCTGGCTCTCGTTGTTCTCGGCCCTCACGTAGGCGCCGTGGTCGAGGAAGTACTCTGCGACCTCGTAGGAGCTGTTGTACCAGTCCAGTAGCCAATGGAGTGGCGTATCGCCCATATTGTTCTGAGCATTGACATCAACAACATCCCCATGACCCTCGAGTAGCATCTGACACAAACGCAGGCTACTCCGGTCGGCGGCCCAGTGCAGCGCGGTGTTTCCATCCTTGTCACGGATCTCTGGGCGCCCGCCGGCCGCCAACAGCATCTCAGCGCAGCTTTCAGGAACCTCCCTAATCATAACAGATAACAACAACGGAGTATTACCGAGTTTGTTCTGATGGTTCAGGGGTGGGTCCGGCTGTTCTAAAAGCAGGCTCAACACTCCATGTGAGCCCACATAGGTGTCGACGCCCAGGCTGGCAATGTGTAGCGGCATGCTGCCGTAGAAGTTTATACGATGAATGTCGGTGGTGCCATCACGTATGTAGCGCTGCAGCATACCAACCAGGTCGAAACGTGCGGCGATATGCACGGGTGGATTGACTAACAGCTGCTTGTCCTGCGATTCGTCGGGGAAAAAGTCCGGCCACACCAATTGTTGCCAACGGGCGAACGGCAGTGCCCTTTCCTTCATGAAAGCGTCCAACTGCTCGTACAGCTCATCGAACATCTCTGCTGCCTCCGGATGCATTTGCCGCTCCTCTTCCGGCCACGCTGCCTCTGCCTCGCGCACATGGTAGTGCCAATGCGTGATTTCGTACCGCAGGTGGCTGGTCGAGTCCTCGTTAGTACCGTACTGGTATTCACCGCCACCTTCTGTGCCTGCATCCGTGGCGTCATCGTGCATTGGCCCTTCTTCGCTTGAGGCCGTTGCAGTGTCGGCCACGTTGCCAGGAGCGAGGGACGTATTTGCGATCTGTAGCTTTTGCGTGTCTTTGAATTCTGAGGAACCCTCTTCCACTGTAGAGTGGTTCACTTTGGCGAAATCATGCGTCTCCGTTGACTGGCTTTTTTCAACGTTGTCCTCTTTTCTCTCAACATTGGTGCCCACTTCTTCCCCAGCTCTGACTTCTGTTTGGGACTGATTGCAGTTTTCGTCGTTTGCAGATGCCTGAGCAGGCCTCTCGGCGGTTTCGGTTCGCCCAACTTTTGGAGTGTCATCTTGCGCACCCTTCGAGATATCCACGAACTCCTGCGGCTGCGACTGTCCATTTCCGTCATCCAATAATCCGTACTTCTTCTGGAATTCTCGATTATTCAGCGTGCGCATGATGTGCCTGGCCATTATGAGATGGCCCCATTTGGGTGCAGCCTCGAACATCGACTCTTTGCGCTGACGGTCCTTGCACCCCGGACAGAGATGCGTCTTTACCTCCTGGGCGTCTCTGATAATCCAGTCACGGACTGAACTGTGTGCCATGGCTATTTTGTCATGGGAATCCAGCTTAAGAAACTCTCGTGCTCGCTGACTGAGAGAGTTGATGATGACGGGGTAGAAACTCCCGTCCGCTTCTTCGGTGCTGTTTTGCTGGCTGTCTTCGCCCTGCTCCTGATTGGCTTCATCTCCGGGGTTGCTCTTGCAATCATGCTCATCATTTTCCAAATTGTCCACACAGTATGTCTTCTGGATCTCGTCCACAATCGGCTCTGCGCTGATTGATCCTTCACCACACACAAGCCACCGTAATGCTATGAGCAACGAGTCGCGGTACTCAGAGTCGAGGGTTTGCACCTTCTTTCGGTACATATTGTACACTCCAACGGGTAAGTTCTGCATCATTTTGTTGAAAGCTGCAGCAGATGTAGGAGATTTCAGTGTCTCGACCGTGGAGGTGGCATCTACTTTCGTGTCAGTTATGGAATCGAAGGATAAATAGAAAAGGACATACACCAGAATGACCCCTCAGATTTTTTCATGATTACATCTCGTGCCTTATGTCGCTGCGCCTCGTTCAGGTGCTTGACTGACTTGAGTTCCTCATCTATGTACGAAGCGATTCCTGGTCCAGTTCGCTCTCTATCGACTTCGATGCGACTGAAAGTATGGGCCGGCTTCGCCGAGAACGCGTCAACGATACTGGGTTGTGGTCGGCTGGTGATCATCAAGTGGATACCATCGTTTCCCTCAGTGAGGTCCATGAGTGCGTTGAGAAGATTGCGCTCAGACCAGTCGCTACATTCGTCAAGACCATCGAGAACAATAACGACATCCCTTTCCAGGACCTGCGTCAAGTCATCGAAGACTTTCTGCATGCCGGAAATTCCAAGACCACGAGCCGTACGGTCGATTTTGGGGCCGTCGGAGGTTTCGAGACGTTGCTTCGCAGCGTTCACAATCTTAATGCACTTCTCAGTCGCTTTTTGCTGAACCTGATTCGATACAGCTTTTGACTTCTCCAGTGGTATCTCGGGATTAGCGTGGTTGAATAGCTGCATGACCAGATGCAACAAGATTCTCTCGCTCTTCTGAGAAGCATCACTTCCACTCCGGCAGAAGAAGTAGACCACGTGCGGCTGAGACCTCTTGAAAGACTTCTGCCGATTGGTTGACTTAATCGCGTCAATAACCGCCGAGGATATGAACGACTTCCCGAATCCAGCTTCTCCGAGAAGCCACATTATGCGACGGTTCTCCTTTCCTACCCAGGCCTTGTAGCTTTCTTGATCAAAAACCCAGTCGCAACTGCCAGGAAAAATAGATGCTAGGTTGTTCCTGTGCTGGGCCTCCAGCTGTGAGAAATCCAGCAACCAAGTTCCGGGCTTCAGCCACTTCAGCGCATCCTCGTGCTCCTTCACGAGCGTCTTCCGGTAGATTTCCTCCTGAGACTTTCCCTGATTGGCAGCCAATGCATTCATACCCTCTTCGATACGGTGACCGATTTCTTCAAGGTTCTTAATGCCCTGAGCCATTCCTGGTATCAGATCGGCTACCATCCTGACATCCTTGCCCATGTCCTCGACAAATTTCTCAACCGTCTCCTTGAAGCCTACGTCAACGCACTTCTCAAGTTCGTCAAGCTTTGCCGTAGCTGTGGTGACGTAGCTCTGCAACTCTTTCAGTTTGCCGAACATGAGATCCATGAGGCATTTCACAGGATTTGCCGACACAAGCTTCTTCGTCTGATACGAGAACTGGAGGACGACAGCGTAGACGCCAGGGATACGCTTTACGATACCCGCAACGAGATTGCCACCAGAGGCCTTGGCTAGATACCGTTTGGCACAGACTTCGCAGATGAACATGGCGTAAGAGATACGGTCTACCGCATTGGATAAGAACTCGCAGGCCTCCTTGTGGATGAGAAAGCAGCTGAAAATCATACGGAAACCTGTCCAGACAACGCTCGCCATCTCCGGCGCGTAGCTCATGGTTGAGTCCACCATCTGGCACATCATGTCCAGGCGCGTGAGAATTCGCCCAATGTTGTACTGAAACAGCTCTGTGCCACCGCTGGTCATGACCTTGTGAGTAGCATACTTGGCGGTTGCCTGATCTCTCGCTGCCTTAAGTGACTGCATCGTCTTCGAGATGGTGATGTTCCCACCCTGTCCCGATTGCATGGTGAACGTCTTCCATTCCTCCTCGCCAAGGTCCCTGCGCAGCTGCTGTTTTGCCTCTTCCCACAGGTCGTGTGGGCTAAAGTGCTCCATGCTGCCGGCCCTCTGAGTGTCGTTGAAAGGAACAATGAGGTAGGATGACAAAAAGGAATCATCGGTGGGGAGTTGAAGCTATCATCCGGACGAGAATATATAATTATTAATTTTACATCTACGTCCGGACAATCGCTTCAAATGCCCATGGCATGACCAGAAATCAAATCCACGCTAAGTTTCAGCTACAGTACTCCTCTACGAATAGCCTTCCCTGTAACACTGAGCCGCTGCACGAGAAGGCTCGCTGACCACCCTCTCACCTGTATTAACTCCAGAATCGTGAACACATTTCGATCGACGCCTACTATCATCTAGCCTGTTGGATAAACCCATTATGCGTCAAATTCTTTCAGCGGTGCCACAAAGCATCATGAAACCCGCCGCTTCACTTCAGCCGAGAAGCAACGGGGCATCAGCTGTCTGCAAGCAGATCCAAGGTCAGCCCACCGATGACCGAATAGGCAAAGCGGTAGCACATCTCTGTGCCCACTCCATACTCCATCGGACTGTAGCTGCACAGTGATTGGTGGTGCTGACACAACTGCTCATTGCTTTCACCAGCTGTAATTCTAGACTCTGTAGACCGGCACCAGGTTTCCCTTCAGTCTTTCCTCTGATGGTTAGCGATGACATCAGGCCTGCGGCTGAATGTGTACAGCATCATCATGAGACCTTGGAACGATGTTCAGATGCATGGATTATAGCAAGGAAAACGCAAAGGCTTGTGCGCGATAAGCTGCAGAAACTAGGCAACAATTGCCGCCTTATTCGTGCCGAGCCTTTCTGCAGAGGGCTATACAATTCAATCGCGTGTTGGGAATGGCGAAGCTACAGAATAGAGAATTAATAGAGGCGAACGTGCGATGTGACAGGTCAGCCAGGCTTTTTCTGGCTACAGGCAGGCGTTCGATATGCGGGGATTAGGCCTAGACCCTTCTTCAGCCGTAAAACCCCTCCAAAATCATTGCGCTGTGGCTGTGGCTGGTTCAGAGGCCGCCCCGCGCAGCAGCCAGTAGAAATTGTTCTACTCACTTGGCACGCTCACCCCGCTAATCCGCGCTCTCCTCCCACCAATCCAGCGCGTAGCTATCCCCAAGAACCCCGCCCCTCCTCTAGGTTGAAGGGTCCTGTTCTAACCTCGTCCATGCCGCCCCGCCGCCGAATCAGCCGCTGCTAGTGACGCCAAATTCCCCGTTACTGTATTAACCTTCTCAATTCTGCACAACCACCACCGACCAATTGCCGTGAAATTCGATCTAGTTAAACATAAATAAGATAGAAAACTTATGTTGTGTAAGTTAGAGCAAAGAACAAGAATGCTTAGTGATTGATAAAAATGATCAATAAATTGATGGATGCTGCAAAACTCAAAAACCGCAGGCGCGGTACTGGATTCAGCTCGGGCAAAAGGTGTCTGTGGTTTGACAGATTCCTGCCCCACTCGAATGCCAAGATGGGAGGCTTCACTAAAAAAGGTCACAAGTTGCGAGGACAAATGAAAAGAAGATTCTCCTGAGCAACCCAAGACGCAAAAAGCCAATCAGGGACCATAATCCATTGGAAGCGCAGCCGCGGTGGGTCTAGACGAGGCGCGGTCATTTCCGAACGCTACGCGATATCATCGGCCTGGAGTCTAGTAACGTCGATTTGCTCCGGCTTTACAACTGGAATCGTCATCGTAACCATCTCCGCCGCTACGCAATCATCGGTGGAGCAGCCAACCACGTGTCCACATAATACGAAGCGGGGAAAATATGTGGTAGCCGGAGCAATGCCTGCACGGCCACGCAGATATTGGAAACTGCAGAAACTCTTCTCGGCGTAGCATAGTTCGAAGAGGGAGTCAGCTGGTTTCGCACTCACACTTGGGGATACACCAGCTTGCTAAATCAGATTGGAAGTAACGCTTCACAATATATTATTGGTCTGGCACTGGCTCTCTGGCGTTTACGGCTGGGCGTGCCATCTGGAAAGCTCACTCAACCTTTGCCGAACAGCCTCAGAATAAGCTTTTCCCACTGCTTCTTAAAGCGAGATCTCCTGCCTATATTCTGATCCCAATACGCCTTGTCGTTTGTGATTCGTGATGCGTCGGAATTTCTCTGCACCATTTCCTCATCCTGTCGTGGCTCTTGCCACGATTGCCGCTCATTGTTGCCACCTTCAGCTTCACCACCCACAGCCTCTCCATCATTTATATTTCGTGGTGTCACAAACATTATGCCCAACTGTCTCCGTATCCGGCAATCCTTCTCGGGATTGTGCCGTGCTGTCCAGTCCAAGTTCCACGGCCGTAAATTCTGCCTCAGTAACTACTCCTTGAACAACTAGGTGGAACCGGGGTATACGGTGTAAATTTGAGCGTTCGGAAGCGCCCCAAGTGTTTCACTTGGGGAAGGAACCACCCACCACCGCCTTCTACCTCGCCGCTATTGTCGCCACCGCCCCTCAAACACCTTCGCAGATATATTCACAGACGCAGACTCCATGTGCAGACCGCAGAAACGGACCACAGCAGCTGGCCGCAAACGAACGCCATACGCAAACTGCATGATAGTTGCATGTCCCAGAAAGGCAAGAACATTCGTCGTGCGCAGACCAGCTCAATTTGGACGTTCCCGGCAATAACCAAACACCCACATCATCACCGTTCGACACCGCCGCACCGCGCCCACGATGCCCTCCTCCCTGTTCTCCTCTGTGCTTGTCCGCCTGCGCCCGCTTCGCGTTCAGCCACCACACCTCACCTGGCCCTCGCGACCCCTCCTCCAGCGGTACCCTCTACCCGCGCCGGCGCCGCCAATCGCCCCAAATGTTCGCCTACCGCTCGTTGCGGTATGATGGCGAGGTGGTCGGGCACCGACGCCCAGCCCATCCACATTATCACCATCGAACACCGCCGCCACCGCGCTTCGGCGGACAATGCTATGAAGCCGAAGAATTGGGTCCGACGTGAAAAACGCAGGAAGCGGGATATCAAGCACGCAAGCGCTTAAGCCGGAGGGTACAGGGCACGGGTCCCCGAAAACTCGGGAGAGGTGGATATCCCGAAAGGACGAGCCTCGTGTCACTCGCCCGCCGTTCCGCGCTTCACCTCCCGTCTGCCGAACTCACGGGTTCCTGTGGCACCGTCTGCTTTTTCTTTGTCTTGCTTCCCTTTCGGCCTCCCTCTTCTCTTTTGTGCCTTGCGCAATCAACCTCTATTTGCTAGTTTTAGACTTACCGCGTTGCCCGATGTCGGCGGGGCCGCCGGCGTTTGCCTCTCTTCGCGCCTTCAGTGCTTCTGGTTTCTATATTTGTCGCCGCGGGAGCGTCGCTGCCCCGCTCCGCCCACTTCTCCAACTCTCCGCTCCGATCCCGCCGCGGCTGAGTCCCCGCCGACCACTCATCACCACCACCACACGCAACTTTGTTTTCCTTTGCGTTCCTTCGCTCGCCCCACGCGCATCTGCTAAGCATTGCCGTCCCGCCGCATCGACTCCACCGATCATCCCCCCTGCCGCCGCCGCCGAACGTTCTGGGCCCTCGCTGCCCATTCACTCTGTCTCCGGCTTGAGTTCGCGAGCTCAAAAGGCTTGGTGATTGGTCCTGGCTGGAGAGCCTGCCTACGACATGGCATGCGGCGGTCGAAAAGACCATCGCGGAGGTGCCGGAGGAGATTTGAGCGAAGTCCGAACTCTGGAAGACCGGGGTCAGTGAATCCTTCTGGTCAATCTCCAGCAGGACCGATAGACTGCCGCGTCGTGGACCTCGCGCGCCTTCATGTCGCCCAGCAGCCTCCCAGCTTCCTCGAAACCCGGCTTGTTCTTCCTCTTTCTTCCTAGGCGCTCGAAGCCACGGATTTCGATCGATAGGCCAAGCGGGTGGAAACAAGATACATGTTCGCGGATTTGACGGGTTGTCCGGCGGTGCACTTGGTGACGGTTCCGGCGGCGGCTTCATCGCGGATGAGATCGTCAAGCGTCTCCAAATGCGCGGCTGTCTCGGGAAGGAGTTCCTCTTCCCAGCTCTGGAATACTCGAGTGCCCGTTGCCCTAGAGAGAAGGTTGACGGCCGAGAGAGACCTGGCGTCTGACGGGGTTTCCGCGGTACATTCAGGTGGCGCCGGCGGTGTTCGCCTCATTTAAGGTCCAGAGGTCGAGGTAAGATCTGCCTAGGGTAAGAAGGGGAAGAGGCGCACCGCGCATTCCGACAAGGTGCAAGTGGGATGGAATTGACAGCCAGCGTGGAAGAATCGTGTGCAGCCTCTAAGCATCACTGGGTCGTCCCGCCTCCTCCAGTCCTACTCCATCCGACTTCGCCGAACGCCTTGCGTCCTCGCCTTGTCTGATGCTCTTGCTCCTGTGAGCTTGGAAGGCCCAAGGATTGGTCCTAGATTGAGGCGGACCAGCCGCTGGAATGGCGTGTGGCAGTCGAAAAGACCATTGCGGAGATTTTGTTGCGGTCGTAGCGTATGATCGATGGAGCAGCGCCCCACTAAGACACCAGCATTAACAATGTAACATCTAGGTTGGAGCCGCATACGTCACTCACGGACAAGCCTAATGACCTCAACTACAAGATCGTCCAAGTCGTATTCTGGCAGGACCATTCGGGTACGGGCAGGAAGCCCAAGATCCGCAAAGCACATGTAGACATGAAGGGAGTTTGGTGTGGCAATTGGTAGAAGTCTTTGAAGCTCAAGCAGAAGCAGAAGGAGACATAGGTGTCTAGAAAAACCAGATGGAACAGAAGTAAGAAGTATTCCCATCTGGCACATGTAGAAATGCTGGTGGAAAGGCGGGCGGATACCGTGGTGTACATAGAGGGAGAATTGCGGCCGAAGGCTAGCGAGGCCATGCATTCTCTTTATACTTACTATGTTCTATCTAAATCCCTCTAATGATAATGTATCTGTAAGAGCAGCGAGGTAGTTCTGTGTTTTAGAAAGACGAATAAATTGCTGTCTATAAAAGGATGGTACGCCATTATGGCTATTAGACCGTGGTATATAATTC